CAATTCTTTGAGGTTGTTTCAACAGTTACTGAACTGGAAGATATGGAATACTACAGAAATCACCTGGAACAATCAAAAGCAGCAGAGCAGAACCAAAGGAATGCAACAGTTTATGAGAGCTAAGCTGAAGGGCTGAGTACGCACCACTTGGTCTGACGCCGGCCTCATCATGCGTGCCAGGACATTCAGCAGGTCCTGCCTCTTGAGAAACTAAAAACACAAGGTGGCAAACACAGAACACAGCTGAATAGACAACAGTAAAAAACTCCTTCCTAATACCTAACCTGAGTTTTCCCTGTATGACCAACACAGCTCAAAAGCAGGCCCACTTTCTGCATTGGAGGAGTTTCTCAGGGCTTTGCTCCCCCAGGTCAGAAGATGAACTGTGGGACTGTTCCATCCCAGGTACAGGGCTTTGTATCTGTCTTTGCTGAACTTCCTTGGAATTCCTGCTGGGCCATTTATCTCTCTAAGTGGCAAATAGGCTCTTCAGCCTATAGTTACGTCAGTTCACACTACACCTCTGGTTTCTATACTTTTCCTGCAAGCACTTGCTCTTTGGTGCCAACTTTAAGAGGCAGAATACAGACCTTCAGATGACCAGTTTTCCCTCATGTGTGTGTACTCAGAACTCTGTGTCTGAATGTGAGCACAAATGCCAGGCTGGGATTCCATGTTGCTCACAGAGAAATGGAAAAGCCTCTAGAATCTGACAAGAGGTGACACGTAAATAGCACCACAAACTCTCTCATTCTTACCTTTAACTGGATGAGCATTCCTTCACAGCACACCCTTCCAGAGCACCACAAGTTATATATGTGTTCATTTTCTTGATTTAGTTTCCCAGTGCTTGTAGCTTCTTTATTAGTGCCATCATCCCCTGAGGAAAACAACAGTGAAAGAGAACTGCAATCTAAACTCACAAATTGAGACACCATAGTTCAGCAGAAGGATTACAGCTCATGATACCACAGTACAAAGAAGGATTCTCTACAGCCTAAGTGCCAGTCTAAACCCAGCTTTATTCAAATAGTAAAACTGGATCCTTGTCATTATGGAACTCACCAACAAGAGCAAAGTTACTTTCTAGCAGCTCCCTGTGAGTGTTGAACCAAGCATGAGCCAGGCGGTTGTTTTTGTTCTTCCCAATGATGTAGTTCATGATGTAAGCCAGGAGACCTGTTACCATCAGGATCTCCATGTAATAACTCTCCCAGCTGTTCTGAAGGTGAGCAGGGACCTGTGTAAGGGAACAGAAACTGTGATTTACATACTGAACAAGCAGATTTTATACACACAAAAGTTTGGGAAACATGGAGTAGTGGAGAAGTTCCATCCCCAACACAGCAATAAGCTTCACAAAGCCAACAGGAGATAACTAAGCCTACATAATGCACTTGGCATACTGGGGCACAGTAATCAATTACAGAGAGCAACTGATAACAGCAGTCCCAAAATACCTGCTTAATACAAAAAAAGTACTCACTTCCAAGTGAGCCTGGGCTAGCACACATCCCTCAGAGTAAATAGCCCAGCACTTCAATTCACTGAGCATTTGAGCTCGATACCCTGCCCATCACAGCATTATCTGATCGTTGTGTAACTTCTCTGCAAATCCAAAGCAACAACCAATGCCAGGAACATTCTCAGGATGCCAGCAAGAGCCACAGATTCCATGGGGCAGCAGGGAAGTCTTCCTGACCTCACCAGCTCAGAGACTAATTAGACATTCTGCTATCACTGTATCACCCTTGAGTCATAAAAGTACCCAAACCTTAATTTTCACAGCCAAGGTCAGCTATAATACCTAAAAATATCTCAGGACTAATAAAAATGCAGACTTTGAGCACCTGATCATTCTGTGAAAGACTGCTTTGGGAGGCAAAAAGGTGATGCAGGGTGGGCAGAGAAATTGGCTTCAAAAACCAACAGAGTTAACAAGTTCTAATTTGACACTTAAGCCATAGACAAGCTAAAAGCACACTGTGTTCATTGTTTAGTACCCCAGTGATATCTCTGGCATACTGTCGTAATAAGTGATGAAACTCCAAATAGATACTGGATCAACATTTATACCTACATTAACTATTGTTATGGGGTCTTTATTTTTGCTATGAGATGCATCTGGTTTCTCTTCATACCCCTCAAACTCCTCATCATCATATGGTTCACTCTCGGTGTCACTTTCCTAAAGGACAAAATCACAAACAGCATGAAAATCCAAAGCCCAGCAAGTAAAATCCAAAAAGAGAAAGAAAGGTGCAGACACTATTAGGAAACACACTGAGGAAGGAGGCAAGGCCTTACCTGTGTGTCTGCATCATCAAAGTCTTCCTGATTTTCATCCTGACCTTCAAGCTCTACAGTAGCTTCTTCTTCATCATCTTCTGTAGTGATGATCCTCTGAGGAGAGTCTGTGACTGTATCTTCACTCACATCTTCAAATTCAGCAAAGTCATTATCATCATATTCCATAATGTCATCTCCATCCTCAAATTCATCATACTTAGCCAAAGAAAAGCTCCATGGGATGAACAGGACAGCGATAAAAATATATATATTCTTCATTTTCACTGGGGAAAAAAAATAAATCAGTCACTGCAAAAAGTCTTCATCAATTCTGTTACATCACACCTCCAGTAACCAATAAACCCCTGCCTGATCTTGCCATCTTTTCTATAAAAAAATTGACTACTGAAACAAGAACAAAATAACTCTGAAGGAGAGGTTCTGGACTCCGTTGCTTGTGGCAGCAGCAAATTCACATCTGGCCACACTGTCCAAATGAGCTGAGATGGAAAGCAGAGATGTTCTGCTACAAAACTGACTCTCCAACAGTACCTCCCAGTCAGAGCTGCCAGCTCACTTCCAAGTGTCACAACCTGCATTTACAGTTGTTACTAACTAGCAATTGGGCACAGTCGGAACTTTGAATTTGTAACAGCAGCAGTAAATCCTAAAATGCACTTGATACATTTAAATATCACTGCTCTGATAGTCTCTGCTAGCCCAAAAGTGCTCCTCCATGATTTTCTAGGGTGCACAGTCAGAACTAAGTCCCACAGTCTGCCATCATGATTTCTGCACAAAGACCATCTACTGGAAGTTGTGCAAAAAAAAAAAAAAAAATGAAGAGGAGAGCTATTGCACTGCTCCCCAGAACAGAAAGGCATAAACTGGAGCTCATGAGCCCAGAGCTCTCCCCACATCAGCCAGAACCCTGCAGAGTTTGGCAGCTCACTTGTTTTGCCCTCAGCTTCCAGTCTTTTCTGCTTGAGTTCAAAAGAGTCCCAACTTCCCCTTCAGGTTGGGGCACCTTCTCCAAGGTCCAAAAAAGGCAGCAACAACCCCTCAGATGCACTTCACAACCAGGCACAGAGGATCAGCTGCATCAGGCTCTGCTGTCAGGCTCATTTTACCTCCTCCCGCAAGCAGATCCAAGTGGGAACCTGAATGTTAATCAGAGTGTTCTCTTGTAAACTTAGAATAGAAATGATTTGTTTCTAAATTTGACCAGCATTCCTCTGAGTGCCTCACACAGGGAACCCACTGCTATGAATGACAAGGATGACTAAAATAAATACCTCTGTCAAACACTCTGCACTCCAGCAAAAACCCGCACAGAACACGGTCACAGAACCTTAATAGGATGGAAAGCTCAGCAACGCCAAGCCCAGGAATTTGGAATGTTGTGTGGGAACCTCACAATTTTATGTGAATTTAAGCAGGAAAAAAACCCCAAAATACTATTTCGATAGGACGGAATTTGCAGTCTGTTAAAAACAACAGGACAACAGAGCCACCTGCTCGACCAAACTCTAACATTTCACAGTAAGTATTCCAAGACTTTTTGAGCACATCCACTTTCAGAAGACCCGACAGCTCCAAAGAGCTTAATGTAAAATAAATTTCTGCAGCCAATTCGAAGGATACAGTGGAGCCAGAGGTGGATGAGAGCTGGAGCACGCCCTCAGGTCAGCAATCTGACAGAATGGGTTTCAAGTACAAATTCCAGGAAGCAGAGAGAGTATTCTCGGCAGGCCCTCCACGACCCACACGCCACCGACTTTCCCTTGCAAAAGGAAGCGATTCATCCTCCGATCTCCACCGGCTGCCCAGACCCCATCGGCAAGACAAACCACTTCCGACAAAACCAAATACTGCTGCTGCTCCCTGTGAATGCTGAACATTCACCAGCTCGGGGCTTGTTCGGGGGATCTGGAGCCTAGACCCGAGCTCGGTGGCAGATTTTGGAGAAATGCCCGTCCCCAGCAGGTCGGGCCTCACCGTGACCCCCGCCCGGAGGTGTTCGTTATCCCGCCGCTCCAGGGGCGCTGCCGGCTGCTTCCCGGAACACGAGCCAAGGTTAACAAGATAAAATCAGCGATCTGCCGCCCCTGAGCGCGGCCCCTCTCACATCCCCGGGGAGGTGCCCGGACCCCCGGCCCCGCCGCCAGCTCCTCCCGCTCCGCGGGGCGCAGCGCAGGCCGCGCACGCCCGGTGCCCTCCGCGCCAGGCTTCCCCTCAGGGGACCCTGCCGGTACCGCACTCCCCGGAGGGAGCGAGCCTCGCCCGGCCGCCCGGGGGAGCTGGCGCGGGCTGTCCCGTCCGGCGGGGCTGCGTTACCTGAGTCACGGGCCCGGCCCCTGCCCTGCGCTCCGCGCCCGCCGCACCGGGGCGCCTGCGCAGTGCGGGCCCGCCGCATGTGCGGGGGTGTGCGGGTACACACGCGTAGGCAGGGGCGAGCGACCCCAGCCCTGCGGTGCGGGAACCACCCAGAAACCACCCGGGAACCAGTGCGGTCCCGGGGCCGCCAGTGCCGTTACCGTCTCTCGGGTTTCCCGCTCCCGCCTTTGCCCGGTCTCACCGCCCTCACTCCCGCTGCTTCAGCCGCGGGCGGTGCGCATGTGCCGGGGCACGCGCGGCCGCGCGCGTCACTCACGCACAGTGCGAGGGCACGTCCCTGCGTCGCGGCTCCACCCCCGCCCCGGTAACCGGGGAAGTGGCGGCGGCGGCTGCGGGGCTGAGGGTGAGTGAGGGGGGCTGAGGGAACAGGACGGGGTCGGGCTGGGCAAGGCGGCGGATCTTCCCCCGCCGGCCTACGGCACCTCTCGCGGGCGGGACCCGCCGTAGCCGCGGCCTGGAGCGGGCGCGGGTAAGCCCGGGCCTGCCCCGCACAAAGGGCCCGCCCCGCACCGCCGTTCCGTGGGCGGGAAGGGCCCCGCGCAGGGCCCGGTGTTCCGGGACAGCGCCTGCCCGCGGCTTCTTCCCCCTGCCGTGCCCTGGGGAGGGCGATCCCGGCGGGCGGGGGTCCCTCCGCCCTTCGCTCTTGGATCGGGAGCGGCTGAGGCGCATCGCGGCCGTGCCCGCGGATCTCGGGCGCCGCAGGCAGGGGCCGAGCCCCGCGAGTTTCCTCCCGCCGAGCGGCGGCCCCAGGGCAGCGAAGCCTCGGGAGTTTTCCTACGGTCTCTACGTCCTGTAGGAACCTCTCCCTCTTCACTCGCTGCTGGTGAGTGGGGCGAAGTGACCATGTTTTGTACTTTTGCTGCTTTTTGACCATAAAAAAGTGGTGCTCCTTATTTTTGGAGATAGGGGAAGGGGAGAAAAGGTGGATAAGTACATTGAGGAGGAATTCTTACAATGAGATTTTAACTTATGAGTTTTCAAAGATTCCCACTGTGTTGTCACGGCAGAAATGCAGTTCCACCTACTCACCCCTCTATTGCACATTTGGATCTCCCGGTGCCACGGCTCTGCAAGTGTAAAAGCTACAGGGTGTGTCAAGACAGGAGGGAAAACTGGACTCCATGGTCAGCTGCTGCCATGAACAGCAGTTTCCCCCGAAATCTACTGCTGAGCTTTGGTCTCGACTCGAGATTGAGCAAGCTCCAAGCTGGTAAATGTTCAGCACAGGGACTGGTTGCGCTATTTACCTTCAGGTTGTTTTGCAGTTGATTTTTTTGCCATTGAGTTCTGATCTCATTGAAGATTCTCAGTGTGAGGATTTGTTTAATTTGTTAAAGACTTGTGGCCTTTGGAGAGCTAATTATAATGCATTGGAAAGCAGTGGGTGTCTTGCTCTCTTTTCTGCCTTACAGGTATGATTTACTTGACCGTGCAGATAATTAAATGACTCAAGAATGGAAACTGTAAATTTTAATATATCAGTTCAGTCTTCATCTTAGAAAATCAAGTTCTGGGCAGACACTGTTATGTGGAGTGTTTAAAATACTGTTTGCAAAACAGAGATTTGAGAGCATATAAATATGTATAATATAGAGAGATCCTATGGCTGAAGATGCTGTCTTGAAAGGCAGAGGGAGTTGGATTTTGGCAGAGATGTGCCCGGGCTCACACGGAGTCTTGTGCTGCTCTGGGCCCGTTTCTCTGGAGCTTGCTGGGCTGCAGGAGTGAGGTATTGACGAGCCATGAAACACAGATGGGACAATGTGGACATGCAAAATATGAACTGAGCTGCCTTTTCATCTCTTGTTCCTCCTGATGTTCAGAGTTCTGGTCTTGGGTTTGTTTGTCCTGCAAACAGGACAGGTAACATCTTAAGTGTGTTTAAGTAATCCTTGGAGTACATGACCTGTTCTGGAAGACAACCACTTGCTTTTTATTCTGCTTTAGAATTGTGGATATGTTCATACTGACAAAAGAGCAGACCCCTATCCTTTTTGGGAAACAGATTAAACTCTTGTCACTCAGAGTTCCACAAGTCCCTGTGTCATGACTGAAGTGATCAACTAACAAGAAAAATCATGACAATTACCTATAACTGCCTGAAGCAGAAAGTGCATTAATTTGTCTTCTCCCATTTTAACAGGTATATTGGGGACATCATGAATTGGAATAAAGGTGGACCTGGTACAAAGAGAGGCTTTGGGTTTGGTGGATTTGCCATAACACCTGGCAAGAAAGAGGAGCCCAAGCTGTCTCAGCAGTCCCACAGTGCTTTTGGCACCGCTGGGTCCTCAGCAGCATTTGCAAAATCAGGGCCTCCTCAGTTGCCTTCCTTCTACAAAATTGGGTCAAAGCGAGCCAATTTTGATGAGGAGAATGCGTAAGTACAGTTACTTCTTGTGTTTATGTAGCTCTAGATTTGAATGTTTTTCTGAGATCGGGGAAGTATCTGTTACATTTATATAAATAAATGCATAATAATATATTTAGAAGACTATGAGATACTACAGTAGCCTGCAGAAGCTTTCCTCCTCCAGCTTTCCCCTCCCGAGAACATACTTTATTCACTCTGTGATGTTCTCAGAGTTGGAGCCAAGCAGGATAAATTTGGGTGCCTTTTGCACAGGAAAACGTTGATCTCCACAGTTCTTTACTAATCCTTCTCTTGGCTGCATAAATGTATAAATAAGGCTGAGAAAGTTGGGATTGTTCAGCCTGGGATAGTCTGGGGCTGACCTAATTGTGGCCTTCCAGTACCTGAAGGAAGCCTAGAAGAAAGATTCAGTTATATACCTATTTGCCCTGCCATCACTTTGAACTTTAAACAAGAATAATTGTAAATAAATAAATCTCAGCATCTTTTGTTGTGTCCATATTGAGTTCTGTTGTCCGTGTGGGTACCTTGACTCAACCAGAAACCATGAAAGACAGCACAGTGCTGTAAATGTGCTGACTGGGCTGGTTTTTTTTTCAGGTACTTTGAGGATGAGGAGGAAGATTCCAGCAATGTGGAATTGCCCTACATTCCCGCAGAGAATTCCCCCACTCGGCAGCAGTTCCATTCCAAGTCGGCAGACTCTGACAGCGATGATGATCCTCTGGAGGCATTCATGGCTGAAGTGGAGGCAAGAGCTGCTCAGGGAATGTTTATTCATTGCTGTGGCTGTACCTGTGTGCAGTCAGGGCCAGCAAATGTCACTCAGGGCTTTGGCAGCTGCAGTCAAAATGCCACTTAACTTTGGGGTTTATGTAGGATGATGTTAGTTAGACCTCAAAAGTGGATTAGATAGACAGAGAGTGGATATGACTTACAATAACTTAACTATTAAACTGCTTTGAGGATGTCAGAACAATACAACATAGAGCTCTGCTTGTCTCTGAATATCAAACTAAGGTTTTGTGAGTTTTTCACTACCTACATGGAAATTGTTTGTATTTATGATGAGCTGTTTCTTAGCTACAGTTCTGTTATTAGTTGGATTCAGGAGGAATATGGAAAATTTATTTTTTCAATAACATTGTCACAAACTTAGAGTAGTATATAAATTCAAAGATACTAGTAGGAGAATTTATTTAGCATAATCAGATGCAGAACAAGACAAAGTTTAGTCCAGGAAGTGTTGTCTCTGTGACCTAATAATCTAATTATTCAGGAACATTTTTCCCTTCTATGTTTTACCATCTTGGTCCTTTTAACATGTGACAATTTTATGACCTGCTAGGATCAAGCTGCTCGAGACATGAAGAGACTTGAAGATAAAGACAAAGAAAAAAAGAACGTTAAGTAAGTTCTCTTTATCATTCCCATCCTGCCTGTGTCTTGTATGGTGCTCAGAGAATTCCAGTGCATTTTGTTGATGATGGCTGTTCATCAGACAGTATAATATATACCTAATAAACATCATTAACGTGTGCATGAGATCCTGTGGGTAATGATTTGTGCTGTAAAAATGGGATCATGGGGAAGAATCCATGGCAGTATCCTGTGGCAAACTGCAACACTGAGAGTTATCCTACGTGAGAAGCCTTTCTAGGCCACAGAAATGGGGGCAGCACATTGCACTCCTGCCACTTTCCAGATCAGCCTGGATAGTTTTTCTGCTTCCCACACCCTTGGAGAGACTAGAATGGTTTAGCTTAGAATTGCATGTATGTGAGCAAAATAACTCAGTGCTGCTGTATCTGGAGTACTGGAGACTCTTCTAAACTTGGACTAGGGTTTTAGACATTAAAAGCTGACAGATTAGGTAGCACATGACAATTTGTAATACTAAATGCGGAGTTTAAAACGGTTTAAATTCATGCAACCTATCTATTTGTTTTGACCAAAGAAAATAATGATGCTGTTGATTCTTGATAGAAATGTCAGATATATTGGTAGAAGTTACATTGCATGGGGTTGATCAGATTATACGTGGTCCTGACACAGAACACCGGATCCAAATCACCACCTGGGGAAATTCTGAACTGGATTTGCACTTCCTGGCTCATATTCCTCTTCAGTTATGGGACTTCAGTAGCATCGAGAGCTTAGACCAGGATGATCTTTGATGTGGCTTCTGCTGGGACGATGGAACCCTAATCTTTCAGTCTCAGTTCTAGAAGTAAAGAGAAGTCTTTACAGGGTCACTGTAGTGGTTGGCACCAGATATGAAAACTCCATGGGCTGGGAATATAAATGTTGCAGAGTTGATAGTGTTGTGTCTTCCACGAAGTCTGGAGCTCAGCACTAACCAAATGAAACTCTTGAGCTGAGTCTGTGGAACACTTGCAGGGAAGTTTTTTCTCCGCTTGTTTTTCCAGGGGTATTCGAGATGACATTGAAGAGGAAGATGACCAAGTGAGTTCCTATGCAGTCTTTCTATCTTCTCTTTTGTTGTTTTGTATTTTTTAACTTTCCCTCTCCAAATATAACTGCTAGGGACAAACAAAATTCCAGTATTGTGTGCGGTATCCAGACAATTCAGCAGGAAGCTGTAGTGGTTACCCTGCTGTCTCTACCCTTCTAGGTGTTTTAAGAAGAATATTAGACAATTGCATTCATTGAAGAAGATTTTCTTCAGTCAGTTTGAACTTCAGCTTCCTGTATAGGTTGTTCAGTGTCTGAGGATCTGTGATTAGCACAGTCAGCTCCAGGGGACACCAGGGAGAGGCTGTTGGAGTGTGGAGACTCCTTTGCAGTGAATTGTGGGGTCTGTTGAGGGCAAGAATCAAGCTTTTTTGATCCCTATTTTCAGAGAAGCTCCAGTTCTCATTGAGGTTTATAAGCATCACTGTAGCAGAAGTAATAAAAAGACTTAATTTCAAAATGTACCTTCCTACTGAGTTGTAGTTACTAACTCTTGTGTTACTTGCATTAATGCAGAGCTTGGCAGGGTTGTCTGGCCTTGAGGCCTCTCCTTCCAGTGTGGTGAGTGTAGCCGTGCCAAAGTTTGAGCAGAGGTGGCTTTATGCTTGGGGGCAGCTGCTGTTCAGGTGTATTTATTGTGTGCACAGCTCTGTGACTGAGGGATAACTGGCCAGGAAGACAGAAAAGCCAGATGAGTATATATGTATATTTGTAACTGAGCCTTGCTTTACAAATCTGATCTTAAATATTTGCTTCAAGTCAAGTGAGACTGGTGTTTTCTCTATGAGCAAGTCTCACACTGGCATGCCAGTGAGAATCTGAGAGACACAAACATCTTGGTGAGGTGGCACATGACAGGATGACAACATCTTAACTTGGGCTTGTCTTGAAGGACTCTTCTGAAATACTTTATTTCACATTTGTTGTTGACTCTCTCAATGGAAATAGGTATATTTTCATTTCCTAAAGTCTAGTTAGGGGAAGTGAAGGAACTATCTTTGGCATAACATGTTTAGAAAAATCAACATCATTGGTTTAGTAACAATGTATTTTCTGGTTAGAAACCTACAGTGTTTTGTGCTTTGTTCATGTGGAAATAAGAATAGATCCTTCTGTTGTTAAATATAACAAGACTTTGTAGAAGGAGCTGTTAAGCAGACACAAGAGAAGTTTGATTTTCGGGAGCATTTTGTGGTGTAGCTGGCACTGGAGTTGTTTCTTTCATTTGTACTTCCTGTCCTTCAGGATGTGTCTGCTGGTGTTTATTAGAAGAATCAATTCTAGTGAATGTAGTTACCTTTTTCCTCAGTGGTGGGTGTGAAATCAAACAGCCACTTAGCACACATGTCACATCAACAAACAGTAGTACTTTTGCTTACTATTGTATGTGAGTTTGCTGATCTGTTTTGCTGCAGGAAGCGTATTTTCGCTACATGGCTGAAAACCCCACTGCTGGTGTGGTGCAAGAGGAGGAAGAGGATAACCTGGAGTATGATAGTGATGGGAATCCGATTGCACCGTCCAAAAAAATCATTGATCCTCTTCCACCTATTGACCATTCAGAGGTAGGAGGGAATTCTGTTCTGTTTGAGGCATTCCAGAAAGCAGGAGTGCCCCTGTGAGGAGGCCCCTGTAATATTTCAGTGTTTTCTTAGGTAAGTCATATTAAAGCTCTTGAAATGTCTTCATTTAAGCAAGTGTTCTGGCAGACAATTGAGAACTTGAGAAAAAAAGGAATCTTGAGTGTGGACTAACTGAGTAATTAATTAATTACATCGCAGATTGAATACCCACCGTTTGAGAAAAACTTCTATGATGAACATGAGGAGATCACCAGCCTGACCCCTCAGCAAGTGGTGGAGTTACGGCATAAGCTGAATCTCCGGGTAAGCTGGGCACAAAAGTGCCCTCCCAGCAGCTTTTAACTCCCTTTCATTTGTGGACTGTCTTAGTTTGAATGAAGATTTTCACTCCAGCTTTTGAATCCAAGCCTCTCAAACACCTGCAGTGACGTTGATTTCTTGGAATTCTGCTATGGATTTGTGAAAGTGGGCAGTGCAGAATGCTACTTGGACTAAAGACCTCCAGAACTAGGAGTCAGAACTGGAAATAGATGCAGAAATTAGTTCTTTGCCATTTGTGACATGCTAGTGGGGTGACCTTCTGTGAAGGGAATTATTTGGGGTGGAACACCAGTTAGACACAAGGAGGTAAAAACAACTTTTAGTAGCTCATGGTGGTTGACAGATAATTAAGTTTTTATACTCAAAAGTCTTATTTACACAACACATCTGGAATTTGCACCCAATTAAATTGAATGTCCAGTTAAAAAGTAAAGTTATATTTCAGAGGCAGAGAGACCTTTTTTCTTTTTACAGATTGCTCTTTGTTTTTCTCTCCCTGTTCATGAGCAAAGATCTTTTTCTCTTTCCAAGGTCTCCGGGGCTGCTCCTCCAAGGCCTGGCAGTAGTTTTGCTCATTTTGGGTTTGATGAGCAACTTATGCACCAGATTAGGAAATCTGAATATACCCAACCCACTCCAATACAATGTCAGGTGAGTATTGTTACTTCTCAGTCTTGAAAAGAACACATACAAAGCTCCCTCATCCACAGGAGGATGTGACAAATTCAATTCTAGTTGCCTACAGAGTGGTTTTTTCTACAAAAATAGCTTTTATGCTTTTTAAATAGAAGTTTACCCACTTTTTTTTTCTTGTTAAATGAAAAATTAATATGTCCATATTCCTTTTTCGTTGTTTTTTTTTTGGTGAATGAAAAACAAGTGATGCCTCTTGCCTGGAGAAATGTATGAGAAGTTCAGGGGTTTTTTGTTGCAGGCTTTCCTCGTTACCTGAGTTTTCCTGTACTGTCTAGCACAAGGATGGGCCACGATGGGCATAATGTGGGCTTGGAATCTCCTCGTTTTTAGGGTGTTCCAGTGGCACTAAGTGGCAGAGACATGATTGGGATAGCCAAGACTGGAAGTGGGAAGACAGCTGCCTTCATCTGGCCAATGCTGATCCACATCATGGATCAGAAGGAGCTGGAGCCAGGGGATGGTCCCATTGCAGTGATCGTCTGCCCGACCAGGGAGCTCTGCCAGCAGGTAGGTGTGTAGCATCCCTGTGTGTGCCAGCCAGTCTGCGTGGAGGAGAAGGCAAAATTCTTGGCAAAAATTATTAGAGAACCTCAGGAAAGTATTTGAAAAAACTACTTTGTGCATGAGTAACCTGGCTCCAGCTCACAGCTCTTTCCTACCATTGTTTTCTTGAAGGATCATGACAAACCTAAAATTTCAAATTTTTGCACAGTGCTCCTATATTATTTTTAGATATAAGAGTGCTGTGGATGCAATGTGACAAATTGTATGTGCAAAAGGATAGAGCCTCCAGGTTAAATTATTGTTGGATACATAAACAGGTTTCTCAAGTTACTGGAAGTTATCCACACGTGTCAAAGTATTCACCCCTGAGGAGTTCAGAATCATTTCATGAAGTTGGTAGCTGAAGAGTGTGTTTCAGGAGACGTGCTGCATTTCCAGTGTAGGCGTTTTGTCTCAGAGCTGTCTGTGCTGTGTTTGTGTCACACCCTCAGATCCACTCCGAGTGCAAGCGCTTTGGCAAGGCCTATAACCTGCGCTCCGTGGCCGTGTACGGAGGAGGGAGCATGTGGGAGCAAGCCAAGGCCCTGCAGGAGGGGGCAGAGATCGTGGTCTGCACACCAGTAAGTACCTGTGTGCACCAAAACCAGGGTTTTGCACTGCTCAGCTTGAAAAAAGTTGTAAGAATCTGTTCCTATGACATGAATATTGACACTAGACTGAAGCCTTGAGATGTTTTCTGTTGTAAGTCTCTGGTAAGTCAGGATTAAAAGCAACTAGGGGGTTGTATATATTAACATGTTTTTGAAGGTGCTTTAAAAACTTGGAGTTTTTTCTTACTAGGGTCGTTTGATTGATCATGTGAAAAAGAAAGCTACAAACCTGCAGAGAGTCACTTACCTTGTGTTTGATGAAGCTGACAGAATGTTTGATATGGGGTTTGGTACGTATTGAAACAAAGTCACTATTTTGGAAAGCAGCGGTGCCCAGTCGCAGTTTAGGGGGTCTGTAAAATTAAATAGTGAGTGAGAAGCACTCATTCTTTCTGTGGTTATATGTTAAATAAAGCAATGAAACTGCATTTTGACTGAATTTTTCTAAATAATGAGTGTACAGGGTTGATTAGAGCATTTCTTCTCCTTTGCAGAATATCAGGTCAGATCAATTGCAAGCCACGTACGTCCTGACAGACAGAGTGAGTAAACAGTGAGTCTGGAACAGAGCTTGGATTTCCAGTTCTGGACACAGCCACGCCAGGATACTTGTGCCAAAGTCCACTGGTGTTATTCTCAGTGTGGGCTGTTGGGAGGGAGCAGTTGTGACATGTGGGCATTCAGCTCATCTCTCCATAATCCCTCCACTGACTGCACTCAGAGCAAAGATGATTAGCTGAATTCATGTTCATATGCCTTGAAATTCAGTGTTCCAAGCTGCCGTGAGAGAAAGTTCACAGCAGCTCCCTGTATTATCAATATTTCAGATGCCAGGAAATGTGTTTCCACTTTGTGGTATTCTAACGGTGGTTGGTAATTTCCATTAGAACCCATAAAACCTCAGCTTCAGTTCACTGATACTCAGAAATCCAGGGCCTCCTTCTCAACATCTGTGCAGTGTTTTCACAGTTCTGAAAGGAAGTTTCTAACTCAAGGAGTTTGAAGCCTGTTTCTCTTCCAGCCCTCTTGTTCAGTGCCACGTTCCGTAAGAAGATTGAGAAATTGGCCCGGGATATTCTGATCGACCCAATTCGGGTTGTGCAAGGAGACATTGGAGAGGTAATTCCATGATACTTGTGAGACAGAGCCAGGAATTGTTCTGTTTCTGTTCTCTGAAATTTAAGTTAAACTACAAAAATCATCATTTATAGTTAGTTTTAAATAATTTGTGCTTAGCAAACATAGAAAATTTTGTGGGTTTCTATTTTTATCTTACTGACCTTTCCACAAACAAATATTCCTGTACTGGGAGGTTTCATTGAGCAGTAGAACATTAAAGCAGTAGTTGATTTTTGTTATTAGGCTGAATCAATGGTTGTATATTTTAGTTTTGTCTCAAAAACATAAACGAAGCCATTGCAATTTCTGCAGTGAAGAATTTGAAACTTAAAATCTCCGTCCTGTGGTTTACATGGGAATGTTGATGCTGGACTTGCTTGACAGTGACAGCTGAGCTATCAGTAGGCTGGGGATCTGGTAGGAAGCTGATGAAGTGGGCAGATGTAAACTTGCTGGGAAGAAACTTTGCTAATAATATATTGAAACTGTTGAGAAATTTCACAAGATGCCTTCAGAACATTCTTCTTTTAACCAGTTCTCTGTATTTTTTTGTGTTTACGTCTTTAATTACAAAAAAATGACTGCCTGAAACCCCTTCTTTCTGGGAAAATTTTTCCTTGATTTTCCTTAAGGAAAGCACCAGGTTTCCCAGCTCAATCACAGGGCCTCTATTCATTGATCTAAACTATTACTGTGTGGTGGGAGCATCATCCTTGAAAAACTATTAAAATGTGTAAAAATTAAATCATTCAGAGAAGCTTGCAGGCAATGCTGTAAGCTGCCCTGCACTGTATTACTTGTGACGCAGAATGTTTGGGAAGTCAGTGTATTCTTCCCACCTTCCTGACTTTGAGGACATTTCTCCTCTTAGGCAAATGAAGATGTCACTCAGATTGTGGAGATTTTCCCCTCTGGGCCCAGCAAGTGGAACTGGCTGACGCGGCGCCTTGTGGAGTTCACATCCTCCGGGAGCGTCCTCCTCTTTGTCACCAAGAAAGCCAACGCAGAGGAACTGGCCAATAACCTCAAGCAGGAGGATCATAACCTGGGGCTGCTTCATGGAGACATGGACCAGAGTGAGAGGAATAAAGTCATTTCGGAATTTAAGAAAAAGGGGATCCCCATCCTGGTAGCTACTGATGTGGCAGGTACGTGACCTTCTGGAAAGCAGCTCAGGCAAGCTGTGGGTATCAACAGAAAGGCAAACATGTTTCAGTGCAAGGCAACCAGGTTGACATCTGCACCTGCAGGACACTGTTCCAGGTGCTTTTCAGAACCATGGAATATCCTGAGCTGGAAGGGACCCACAGGGATCATGGACCCTGACTCCTGGCCCTGCAGACATCCCCAAGAGTCACACTATGTGCCTGTGCAGTATATGGCATTGGCAAAGGGGGTTATTTTTAGTCTCTTAATGATGCCTAAATTACAGCCTGACATTTTTTAATGTACAGAAAGTATATACAGAATATACAGAAAGCTGTGTCTTAAGGAAGTGGTTGCTGTTCATTCATCAGCTGACATTCCTTTTGCTCAGAGCAGCGTGATACCCTGGTACCAGAGGAATTGCTTTGAGTGGATTGGGATAATGACACTTCCCACCACGTTGCTCTTTCTTCCAGCTCGAGGGTTGGATATCCCTTCCATCAAGACTGTCATCAACTACGACGTGGCTCGGGACATAGACACCCACACGCATCGGATCGGCCGCACCGGCCGTGCGGGGGAGAAGGGAGTGGCCTATACCCTGCTGACCCCCAAGGACAGCAACTTCGCTGGGGACCTTGTCAGAAACCTGGAGGGTGCCAACCAGCACGTTTCCAAAGAGCTGCTGGATTTGGCAATGCAGGTATGAACCAGCAAAACTTGAGACAAGAAAGTTTCACTCCAGATTCAGCACAAAATCAGCCAGCCCACATTGCTGGCTCCATCATGTGTTAGCAGTGACCTTTTGGGGATCTGTCCTGGTTTAAAGTAGGTGTCCTAGTGTTTTTAATGGCCTTTGAAAGAATCCATGAAGATTTTGGAACACAGTATGTGATCTATTTTGGGGCCAAGCACTGCCGAGGAAATTAGGAGCTGTAATCTGCTGATGTCAGCAGAGCATTCCAGTGTCTCTTTACAGTCAGATTTATAGCAGGCACCTGGCAGATGCAGCTTAGTTGAAAGCTAAACTAGAAAACAATTACAGGGACATTTCCTCTGTGAAGGGGTTGTTGCTTGATCATTCCATCTGGTTGGCAGTGCTCTCAGGCAGGTTTGCTATATATAGGTGTGACAGGTAATTGCAGCAATTGCACTTGTGCCACTGAACTTATCAAGTCTTTAATTTCTTGTCTTTTGCTGCCTGTATAGCTGCAGGAGAGTCCAGCCTTTTTGGCAGCTCCCAGATTCAGAGATGGATTAGCAGGCCTGTGGATACATTAGCAAGCAGCTTAGACAGCAGCTGCCAAAAGTAAATACTTTTTCTGACACAGGCAGCATTTTCAGAAGGGGCAGAATTAGTGAGGCAGAGTTCCCCTCACTGCCTTGAGAGGAGCATGTGGAAGCAACTGACTGACTCACATTGGGAGAAACCGTAGGGCATAAAAAGAGGTGCAGCCAACTATTATTTAAACACCTGGAAACAGCAGGTCTGATTGGGCTGACATTCTCTGGCCACTCCCAGAAAACAGAGTTTTGCTGGCTGACCCTCATTTCTCCTTAGCCAAGCATTGGGCTAAATCAGTGAAACCCAAGTACGAGCAAGAGCAGAGCTCTCAAGTGATGGCATTGGAAAGTGTGTTTATTCCTGGGTTTATTAGAATGCAAATGCCCAAAACCTTAACTTGAATGAGAGTTGAAGGTGTAAAATTACTTTTCATAGAAAGCATTTGTAACCCAAAGCATCATGACACCACTGCCTACAGCAGCTGTGTGGTTGAATGGAAAGCAGTATTTATGTTTGTCTTTTGAAATGCTTAGTATCCCTTTTTTCTCAGCCTCATTACATGTGTTTATGAAGCTTTTTATTCCCTGTGCTGAGAAACATTTGTCCTTCTGTTACAGAATCCGTGGTTCCGGAAATCCCGATTTAAAGGAGGGAAGGGCAAGAAGCTGAATATTGGTGGTGGTGGCTTGGGATACCGTGAACGCCCCGGGCTGGGTTCAGAAAATACTGTAAGTAGAGATGCTGAAGAGGTTGTTCACAGATTCTTGGAACTTTTTCACTTAGTATTGATTACTCTTTAATTTAAAAAATTTTGGTACTGGATTACAGCATCTGCTTTAAAAGTTCTCATAGCTCAGCATCTTTCAGGGTTAGGATTGTTTATCTCAGGTGAAAGTCTCCTGTGCTGTTCTTCTGTTGTCAAGAGCTGCTTTGTTTTAGAGCTAAAGTGATCCAGAAGGTTTGGAGATTCCTCATAAAATACACTGTCTCTGTAAAATAAACGCCAATAAATTACTTCAAAAGCCATTTCCAGGCTGATTCCTGGCAGAAATAAAAATGGAGCAAACTGCTCCACTGCTCAGGGCTCTCCTGAAATCTGGATGTATTTCCTGAGTACAGGGACAGGACAGATGTGGGCAGTGGTTGAACTGAGTGTGTCTGTGTGGGATAAACCTCCGCAGTTGCCCTTTGTATTTTTGCGCAGGACCGTGGAAACAACAACAGTGTGATGAGCAACTACGAGGCCTACAAGCCATCCACAGGGGCCATGGGGGACAGGCTGACAGCAATGAAAGCAGCTTTCCAGGTTGGTTCCATGCCTGGACTCCTTTTGTCCCCTGAAAATGCAGCAGCCCTGTTATTTCAGGGAAGTTGAGCGTGGTGGTTGTGGCCGTGTCGCTTGGAGCACACTCAGCATTGCAGTCCCAAGTGGTGGAATTAGGTGCAGGCTGGACTGAACACATTTTGCTGCCTCTTTGCTCTTTTTCCTTTTGGATTCTGCACCTGGGCTTGATTCTGTTGAGGTTGCATAGCAGCAGTAGTATAGCTGCAATCAAAAGGGGAAACAGAAGCTCTTTCTCTTCAGTGTAAAAATGAACCCCACAACGTAAAGATTCCCCTGTCGGTGTTGTCTGGTAGGAGGTGCCTGTTCCTGTGTGTCGATAAGCACAGCAGGAAGGTAATCACTGCAAGACTGACTTTTTCTAGGAACTCTCCCCAAAATCCGAGGCGGGCTTGTGAAGGCAGGATGATTCTGTGTTCTGTGGGGCAGCACAGATCCAAACCTGCTCTCTTTTGTCTCTCCTTTCCTGCAGTCCCAGTACAAGAGTCACTTTGTTGCTGCAAGTTTAAATAACCAAAAGACTGGGAGCTCTGCTGCTGGTGCCAGCGGCTGGACCAGCGCCGGGAGCCTGAACTCGGTCCCGACGAGTTCAGCGCAGCAAAGTGCCGCCAGTCCCGAGAGCCCCGCGGCAGCGGCAGCAAAGGGAGTCCCGGGTTTCCCCAGCACGGGCAGCCTGAGCGGCAGCCCCACCTTCCCCAGCGCGGGAGCGCCGGCCTTCAACAGCGCAAACGCCGGCAGCAGCGGTCGCGAGGGCAGCGGTGGCATCGTCAGAGAACGGTACAACGACACCCGGAACAGCCGGCACAGCGAGGCCCCGCGGCGCGGGGACGGCGCTGGCCGAGGGGAGGGCGCTGGTCGCTACAACGATGCCCAGCGTTACGGTGATGCCCAGCGTTATGGTGATGCCCAACGCCACAACGATGCCCAGCGCCACAGTGATACCCAGCGCTACAATGATGCCCAGCGCTACAATGATACCCAGCGTTACGGTGATGCCCAGCGTTACGGTGATGCCCAGCGCTACAACGATGCCCAGCGCTACAACGATGCCCAGCGTTATGGTGAACCCCAGCGTTATGGTGAACCCCAGCGTTACGGTGATGCCCAGCGCCACAACGATCCCCAGCGTTACGGTGATGCCCAGCGTTACGGTGATGCCCAGCGCGACAGCGGCGGCAGCAGCCGGCACAGTGACCCCTCCCGGCACGGTGACGTCCAGCGCCACGGCGAGGGCCGGCACTTCAGTGACCTGCCAGGCGGCAACCGCAACAACGGTGACAGCAGGACCAGCGAGGGTAGGAACAGCGAGAGCAGGAACGGAGAGAACAGGAGAGAGGCCAACAGCCGAGACAACAAGACAGATGGTTTTGCTGTCCCAGAGCCCCCAAAACGGAAGAAGAGCCGGTGGGACAGTTAAAAGCTGGGGGTTCACAGCCTGGAATCTCTGCAGATAGTGTTGTCTTTTTCCAGGGATTTTAGTAACTGGTTGAGCAGCTGGGGCCAGAGAAGGAAAGCATGAGAACCCCCATGCAAGTTCATCTGCGGACAGATGCACCCAAACGAAATGTACACAACACTTAGTGAAAGAAATCATTTTGATAAAGCTCCCTGGGTTCTGCTTTGAAACATTCAGTGCTTGAGTGACTCTGCTGGATTTAAACAGATCTTCTTGACAAAAAAGCTGTTCCACATCCTTGGAACGTTAAGAAACTGTTGTCCATAGAAATATAAATTAGTCTTTTCTTAACCAGCGTTCACATTTACAAACCAGTCCAGTCCACCTAGAGATGCTCAGGACCTGTTAGACATTAATCTTGCAGCAGTTTGGTCAGTATGGTGAGTTCTTCCCCCACCTCCTTTTAACATAACTGTCCCCAAATAATTTGGCCTCCAGGTTACCCCTTACCTCTTTCCCCATCAACTAAGAATGTATTAATTTGCTTTGGTGAGGGTGGGGCAGAGCAAATTGGTTTTTGGTGGTTTGGCCTTTTATTTTGTTTTTTGTGGGTTGTTTTTTTGGTTTTTTTGCTTTTTGTTTGTTTTTGCTTTTTGTTTTTATGTGTGTGTGTGTGTGTGTGTGTAGCTGTTCAAGGGATTCTTCTCCATCCCACCAAACCACAAATTCAGTTGTAGTGTAGGTTGGACTCCCTGGCTTGTTTGTGGTCAGTACTTCAATTCCAATCCCATTGCCCATATTTTATTTCTTATGAAGAACCTCCTGTTTTCTAATATCCCACATTCTGGTGGAAGCCTGCATAGCAAACCTGTGTCTCTGCTGTGCCTATGCACCCTCTGTTCTGAGAGGGTTGAGTGCTTTCAAATTAAAAACAAAAAAGGGAAAACAATGTAGATACACAACAATCAGAGGCTGGAGCCCCCCAGGAAGTGTGGCTAAAAGAAGATTCAGAAATTCAGGGATCTGTTGCTCAGAAGCCTTTAGGGAGAACCCAGAAAACAATTAATGAAAAGAAACAGCTCAAATCTGGCCCTGTTTTGGACACATGTAGTAAATCTGTAAAATCTTGCTTGCTCATTTTTAACTCGTTGTGTGTATTCCCATTTTTTAACTTTTATTTTTTTTTGCCACAAGGTAGGGAAGAACTTTTCAGTTGGGACATGTCAGCACCCACCGCTGGCTCGTTTCCACTGGAAGATGTACCAGAAGCTGTCAGGGTTTTGTGACATTGTGATGTTTTCTTTATCAGCTGTGCATTTACTTTCTGCTTGCTCTAGTAAATGTTTTATTACTGGTACAAAAATATACAGCATGTGCTTTTTGTTCTCCACATCCTGGCTGCCCTGATGTGTGAATGGAGAACTGATGGTCTGGAGATCTGTCTCTCTCTCACCAGAAGCTGTGGATTGTAGTTGATAAAATACTTCTTGTGGTTCTTCTTAGCATCTTTCACCCCAAAATGTTTCACAAACCCTGCTTTAGCTTCAAGGCCTCCTGGGAATAGATCTTCCTCTGCTTTATAAGAGGAAAGGATATAGCCCAGGACATGTGACTCATCCCAGCTTTTTGTGGGGTAATGGGCAACAGAACTTGGCAACAGTCCCAAGATCTGACTGACACCTGAACTGGCTACAGTTCAGATACCAAGTGATTACAGGTCCCCCTCAGAAACCAGCTCTGATCTGCTAGAGTGTTTTTAAAATGGTTTCCAGAATTCCCTCCCCACAGTCTGGGCAGGACTTGTTGCCCTGGTTCGAGCTCTGCACATTCGGTGTGAAGACAAGGGGGTTTCAGGGCAGGGCTTTACAAGTGTCGTATTCCCTTTCTCACCCTGAAGGTTCATCACTGCAATTAAAGACTGGAGTTTCAGAACAAAATGTAAAAATAGCCCCATAGCCTGAGCTGCCATCTGCTCCCTCCCTTCCTGGGTCCCAGCTTTGTGCCACTGGGAACCAGCCCCGTGTGAGGCATCTGCTGGGGGTTCTCCCCTTCTTGTTAACACTTCCCTCTGCTCCTTGTGGGATTATTGAAATTCCTCACCCCTCTCCCATCTACCAGGAGCCTCTTGGGAAGAGAGTGATTAAATATTGATCAGTGACAGGGGGCCACAAATGTCAGCTTGCAGGCCTGTGCGAGGTCCGTGGCAGGGCTGGTTCCATCCCCTCGGAACAAGGGAGCAGTGTGAGCAGCATTCCAGCTGCTCTGAGAGGGCATCTGGCCCTGGAGTGGCAGCTGTGCTGCTGTCTTCCAAAGAGACAAGTTTCTTCCAAGAGATGATTTCAAAAATGTGAATCCTGGAGCTCTTCCCTTCCTGGCTCCTGGCTGTCTGTCCCTCCAGCTCCCTATGGCTTGCTTTGCACCGTAGTTTTTCACTGGAAGATACAGGAATGCACACAATTATTTACCTGGTCCTTTCATGTCTTTAGCATGAAATTGCTGCCTTGAGGGTTGTGTAGGAAGATGCTCCATGCTACCACCAAGATGCTGTTTAATTTATCTGCCATCTCCACAGCACCTCGGGAATGCCTTTTCCCTCAGGTGAGGAGCAGCCGGGCGGTGCAGGAGCAGGGCAGGGGCTGCTGGGGCTCCTGTCTGTGGCAGGGGGCAGAGGGAGAGCAGACCTGGCTGGGAGTGGGGACAGGGTTCCAGCCTTTCCTGCACTGCTGCTCTCCAGCCACCAGCTGCTGGGTCCATGGTGGAATACAAGGATAGAAACAAGCCAGACAAACTCTCTTTATTCACTTCTTAGCCTGCAATGAGATGACAGGGCCACAGCTGTTGCATGCAGGGGCCTTTGTGTTAATGGATGAAATGTTTGGGATCCAGGTATTTCCTGCACCCTTCCTGGCCGTAAAGTTTGTCCTGCCTCCTTCATCCCACCCTGTCCCAATGCCTCCCGCTCCAGTTTGTGGTTGAGTGTTGGTGTTCACTCCATCCACGATCTACAGAGCAGCTCCACGGGCACTCTGTGCTCCTCAGGCTGGACAAAGCCGGAGCTGGTGCTGGGTAGGGGAGCCCGAGGCAGGATCGGGCTCATGGGATGGGCTTTAACTGTGGAGAAGTCACCTCCTACTTGGGCGGATAGGAGAGAGCATGGAGGTGTTTCCTGGTGAAGACTCGAGGCTTTGCCAGCAGAGATCACATCAGTCGCTTGCACGTGGAGGAGAATGAGGTTTTATGGCTTGTTTTTGGGCCAGGGGGGAGGAGGAGCGAGAGCAGCGGTCCGGCTCTGACGGAAAGGGAGCCGGGTTGTTCCGGCTGCTGTCCCAGCCCTGGCTCTCCATTAAAATGTAAGCAGAGCCCGAAGCGTGAGATCAGCATCGTTCCAGCACATCTGCGTGCCCAGGTGGGAAATCCACCCTCCGCTTCACAGCATCGTCTCCAGCTCCTTGTTGGGCTTGGGGTGACACTGAGCCAGGCCTGTCAGATCCACCGTGTTTTCCCCCCGGGGTTTCTGGCTCGGTTCCTGGCCGGGGCAGGGCAGGAGCTGGTCCGAGGTGCCGGAGCTGGGGATGTACCCGGGCAGGCGCGGCCGGGCCGGGAGCAGCAGCCCCCGGGTGCCCCCCGCTCCCCGCCCCGCCAGGCTCGTGCTGCAGCTCTGGGAGCTCCCGGGGCGCGCCCGCTGCCCCAAGTCCAGCGCCTGGAGCCTCCGGAAATGAGCTTTCTTGATCTCAGCCTGCACCTGAGAGAGCAGAGGGGGCTGCTGTGCCAGAGACAGCAAACCAGCCTTGCCTCGCCTTGCCCTTTTCCCTTCCCTTTTCCCCTACCTCCCTTTCCCTTTTTCCTTTCCCTTTTTTCCCTCCAAATCTTTTTGAGAGCAATGGATCCAAGCTTTTTGCTTTGGTTATCACAGCCTGGGGCTGCAAGTTTGCCTTCCCTGACTCGAAAGGGGCTGGAACAGGGAGCTTAGCTCCTCACTTTTCCCACTTACCTCCCCATTGCAAAAGCAGTAGATAAAAGCCACAAAGAAACCCTGCCAAGAGACCAAAAGAGGTGGAGTTTGAGGTCACTGAGCCTCCCTGAAGGAAATCCCTCAATGCTGGGAGCAGTCCTATGTCAACACACCTGGGAGGAGTTAAAGAGCATCTCATAATGCATCTGGATCTGCCACAGGAGCCCGGAGACCTCGGTGTAGGGCATGGCCATGAACACCACGTAGTGGACTCCGAAAAGCGGCATCAGCACCAGCGTGGACTTGAGCAGCTTCCTGGAAGGAGAGAGCTCAGAGCCATCACCCAGGAGCTGCTGGGCAGCCCCCGGCCCCTGCAGTGTCCAGGCTGGAGGCGGGAGCAGGAAGAGCTCGGAACTCCAGAGCCAGGCTTCAATCTGGCAGAGCTGCCAGGAGAGCTGGTTGTCACTGTCCTGTCAGTCTTCCTCACTCCTCCAGCCCTTCCCACACCTCTGCTCCTCCTCCACAGCCTCTGAGAGCCATCCTGCCTGAGCAGGCAGGACATGAGGCTGCCAGCACTTGCCTGTACTGCTGCCGGAGATCCAGCTTGCCCATGGTGGTCTCCCAGAGCTTGGAGGCCAATACCCGGACGATGTTGAGGAAGAGGAAGAAGTTCACCTGCCAACAGACACCCACGGTGGTGATGGTGCCCACTGTGACCTGGGGTCTGCCCGAGGAGCCCTTGGGGACACAGACAGGCAGTTCTGGGTGAGGTGCAGGCAGGGACATGGCGGTTGATGCTGTGGTCAGAGCAGGAGGGACCAGAGCCCCTCTGGGTGCTCCCTGGGTGTCAGAGTGGCTGGGACAAAACTCCAGTGACCACAAGCAAACAGCTCTGGTCTCTATCAACCCTCTTCCCCCAAAAGGAATTGGCAAGTTCATCCACAGGATTCTTACCACGACAGCAGCCAGGATGGGGACCTGATAAATCCACTTCATGTTCCCTGCACTGAGGTCCCAGCACCTGAGAAGATCAGTAAAGAAACTCCTTGGAGAAACCTGGCACTATTGGGAAAGATGGTTCCCTGTACCCACAACCACCCCAGCACCCCCATCTCCCACTCTTCACCCCCTTGGTGGGCTTTGTGTAAATCTTGAGCTGTAGCTACAAGCATTTGTAACTGTCATGGTGGGGCGAAGCATAAGTTCAAAGGAGCATTAATGTTCCTGAGGGCTCCTTGGCTACCTCATCCCAAACTCCTGCTGTTTGTATGGTGGCTTTCTCCTTTTAAAATGCCTCACTCCAGAATGTGTCCTCTAGAATCCATCTCTGTGCTGTTTATTGATCAATTTATGCTGCAGACTTGCATCCACCATCCTCCCAAATGTGGAACAAAAGCACTATTGCTCTGCATTACTGACAATTCTATGAACAAGCCTTGAATGTGTGTTCCCTCCTGTTGTTCTTCTTGGAAAATTTTCATTTCCACAAAGCTCTGGTGCCCACAGATACTTTGCTGGCATTTGCAGCCCCTCTTCCCCTCCCACAGGCGCTGTGAAGGTGGGTGTACGTACTGTGTATCCGCCAGTGAGGCCCTGACGCTGGCCCAGACAGACACAAACACAGCAGGAAGACCTGAAGGGCAGGGACAGAGTGAGGAGCAGGGCTGAAGCATCACCTTTGCACATCAAACCAGATCCTGGATCCCACTGCCCTGACCTGGGCACTCGGTGCCACTCAGCCATGGCCAATGCCACAGCTCCCAGCTGGGGCTGGGGTCTGTGCTCACCCCAGCCAATGATGATGAGGACCCACAAGTAGTTCTTGTTGGAGAGGAAGGCCATGAATATCAGGCTGTGCAGGTAGAGACCTTCTACCAGGATCCAGTAGTGGTTGGTGGCCAGAAAATAGAGGAAGAGAGTCACCACCACCTTGCAGCCAACCTGTGGGTACAGGGAGCGGCCCGTGTCAGGCTGGTCCCCAAAAGCAAAACCTGGTGGCTTTTGCTTTCTGGTCACCAAAACCCAGCTGTGCCCCAAGCTCTTCTTGTAGAGACCTGCATCTTCCCTGGAATATTTCAGCATCTTCCTTCCCATAGGACAGGTATTCCCTGTACACAGGCCAAGGTATTCTGTGGCTCTGGTCTCTAGTGTGGCACCAGGACAGGGAGGAGCTAGGCAGAGCCAAAGGTGGACCTTCATGCCCTCCCCCTGGGTAGCACAGCCCTGGCCTGGGAGGACCCCAAGTACATCCCATTGCAACAGGGCTCCTAAATCCCCCTTTCCCCCCATCCATCACTCGCCAGGTGGCCCTGTTGTCCTGGCAAAGGACCCCTGAAATCGTCCTCCCGCATCCTGTTGGTGTCGCTGGGCGCTGTGCCTGAGTAGAGCACCATGTCCTTCACGAAGATGCTGAGGGCCCGGCAGATGAAGGAGGTGAAGAGGTGGACGTGGATGTAGTTCCGTGTGCAGTGCAGGCGCCTGCGGAGAAGGGATTTGACACGAACCAAGCCCCGGCTGCCCAACCAGCTCCTCACACTTGGGCTCAGGGAATGGAGGGGTCTCAGTGGGATCTGGGGTGTCTGGGCACAGAAGCCAGATCTGAGAGCAAATGGGGTGTCCACACTGTCCAAGATCAGGGTGGAGCAGATCAGGAACTGGGCACACCGGGGGTGTTTGGGGCTTTGGGAAATCAGCTGATGTTTGTGTTGGGTCTGTGGTTGTTCCCATTCCTTTGTGGGCTGCGTGTGTGAGTCCTCTGGGCTCGTGTGCATGGGCAATGGGATGAGGAGGCTTCTCCCACACAGGAGGGGCTTTGGCCTCTCCTTACTTGAAGTAGGAGAGGATGCAGACAGCGACAATGAGCGAGGCCAGGGAGATGGAATAGCCCACGGTGTACATGAGGTGCAGGCGGTCAAACACCTCCTGGAAGAGAAGGACTGAGCTCCACCACCCTGCCAGAGCACAGGGGGAGCAGGGCTGGTTTGAGGAGCAGAGAGAGAAGAGTCCCCTGCCCCCAGCGCTTCTCCTAGCCTTTTCTTCATCCTCGCCTGGCCCCCATCCACACCCCTTTCCCAGCACCTTCGGCAAACAGGGTCACCTTCTGGCGGCTCCGGCTCTCGGAGGAGAAGAGCAGGGCACACTCGGTGTAGTTGGCCCAGGTCTTGTTGATGCTGAGAGCCATGGCCCAGGTGCCATAGGCACTGCAGTACCTGTAGGCGTGACCTGGGAACAGCAACGAGCACCGTGGCAGCAGAAGGAGCCGCAGGAAGCCCAGACCTTGTCCCTGCTCCATGGATTGTCACCAGGGTGAGGTCGCTTTCTGCCTAGGTGCAAGACTTGCCTTTGTGGTTGAAGTCGTAGATGTAGTCGGGGCAAGGCACTGACACCTCCTGGCTGGGGGAGCCCCTTGGCCAGCAGATGATCCCGTCCCACTCCGGAGGGCAGCTGGGGTCTGGCCAAAGAGCAAAGACACATCTCATATCTCCAGCATAACCCTCAGCATAATCTCTGTCTTCCCCAGGTGTGTGCTGGACTGGGGGAGGAAAACACTGCCACAGATCCCCTGGGCTGCAGAGAGGGAGAAGCTGCAGGGGACCAGGGAAGGGGACACATCCCACCTCTTCCAGGCTGGGCAAGACCCCTCCACAGCTCTCATTCGTGGTGTACCTGGAGCTGTCTGGAAAATGCTGGAGCCAGTGCTGGCTGCACCCAGGGCACAGATGGTGCCATAAGCTCTGCAAGCCCACAGGAGCCGGGTGTCCTCAGCCCCATCCTGCCCCAACAGAGAGGACAGCATTCCCCATGGTGTAACCAGGGCTGGCTGACCCAAGCACAGGGGAGGGACAGTACCTTTGATCTTCTCCAGCTGGGCCTTTATGTCCCTCTGACACTTTTCCTTGGCCTCCACCAGGAGATAGATCTGCTCTTCTTTCGTGAGAACATCATCGGGATCGACCTGCCCAGACAAAACACAGGTGACAACCCCTTGGCTCAAGTCATAGTGTGGCTGTGCTCTCTCAACCCTTTCCACGAGAGTCAGGTTTGGGTGGCCTTGGGTAGATTCAACAACATAGGGAAGAAAAAAGCTCTTCCTGCCTTCCTGCTCATTTTTCCCTTTCCCAAGGCTGATGCTGACCCCAAGCCCCTTCCCACCCTCTCCATGGTCATTTCTGCTCATGGTTTTGTGCAGAAATCAGTGGCCTGTTAGGCTACTGCCCCAGCTCCCTGTCACCCATCACCAGAAGTGCTGGGTGTCCCTGTTGCCCATGCTGAGCTCTCCAGGCCAAGTCTGGCAACCCCTGGGTAAAGTGCCTGGCTGGGGCTCAGCAAAGCAGCCACTGCCCAGTGCCCAGAGCAGACAGTGCAACCCATGGCACCTCCAGCTTCCCCATCACACCACTAAATGGTGTTTTGGGTTAAGATGCTGGAAGGAATTTAGAGCCAGGATGAGGACACAGCTTTGGAAGAGAAAAGGAGCTGGGATGCAGAGGGGTCACTCTCTCCAGACTGCCTCCAGTGAGCACAGCCAAATCTGGCCCCAGAGAGGAGATCCAGAACTCCTGTCCACGCTCCTCCCCAAACCAGCATCTGGGTGGGTGAATGGGGGGCTGGTCAGGGATGTGGGGCAGGAGTGGGATCCTGAGGGTGCATCAGCAGGATGAGGGCCTGGCTGTGGGAATCTCCCTGGCTGTGCCCTCGCCGCATCCCTCCAACCCTTCTGCACTGCCTGCTCTGCTCCCCCAGCACCTCTGAGGCACTGAATCCCGCCCTGGATGTGTCCACAAAATGGAAAAGCCATCACACTGCAGTGCCTCCGTGACTGTTGGAAAGCTTTTAGCAGGAGTGGAGATGCTCTCTCCTCCTGCCCAGCAGCTCCACAGAGCGGGACGTGAGTCGGGAGCACAGGCGGCCCTGCCCGGGCCACTGGCACAACATTTAAAGCCATGAGAGGGACCGGAGCAGCCCCGGGGCCACGCAGACTTACCAGAGCCCACGCCGAGCTCAGGAGGCAGCAGCAGAGAGTCACCATGATACCTGCCACAGGGCCAGATGCCTCCATGGTGCCACCGTGTCACTCGGATGGGGTCTTCAGGGACCAGAACCGCTGCCAGTGCTGGAGAGGGCTGCTGTGTTCAGCAGGACAGATCATCTTCTGGGAGCACCTTCCTGGCTTGCTGTTCACCCCGTTGAGGTGAGGTGGCAGTGGGCACAGCCCGTCTCTGGGAGATCAGGGCTGGGTGACTCCCCTGTCCCTGTGGGATCCCTATCGGGATCTCCTCACAGGCTCTCGGGGCAGGGGGGTTTCTCCCCCCACCATGCTTGATCCTATTCTCTTTGTGTCTTGCCTGCTTTAAGCAGCTCCGGGAGCGTGAGCAAACAATTCCCGTTCAGATGGGGATGGCAGAGGTTTATTGGCTTAGCCCAAGGTGCTAAAATCCTCTTCATTCAAGGCAGATTCCTCTTCTCTTTTCAGAAACTTCTCTCAGTGCCTGGTGGCTCATTTTTCAGCTGTGACAGCATTCCCCCACTGCCCCCATGCTCCTAAGTCCCTTCTAGCCCCAGACTGGTCCCAAGGAGCCAGAGGAAGGTGGGGAAAATCCTAGTGAGGTGGAGGCAGGGAGGCAGAGAGTGCAAGCACGTGAGCAGCACCTTGAGCTGATGCTCCTGCGATGGGGTGTCTTTCAGGCAGATGCCAGTTTAACTCTTCCTTCTCTGGGGGCTGGGATCCATCCTGCTCTCCCAGGAACCCGCAGTGACCTCAGGGCACGTCTGCATTCAGTCTCCTCGGGAGAGGGGCTGGAGGCTCCATCCTGGGGCAGGGGGTGGAGGGAGCAGCCACACAGGTGGGGTCCCACATCACCACTGGACATCAGGTCAGAACTGGTCCCACTGCAGCTGTCACCATCCCTTGTCACCTGCATCCCCCTGGCATGGCCCCAGGGCTGTCCCCTGCCTTTCAGGGTCATGCTGATAGCGAGCTTGCTCCCACCACCCAGCCAGTTCCAACACCTTGTGACCCCCAGCAGCCCGAACATCCCCCTGGGAAATGGGGCACCAAGAGGGGAGCCCTCTTTCCTCAGGCAGGTTGTCGTTAGTGGGATGAGGCTGGAATTCAACAGCCCAGTGCCAAATCCCTGGAACAGCAGCTCCCAGCCTGGGCCCCTCCCTTGGCCCGTATAATCCATGTCCAGACACAGCCCTTGTTGCCTCTCTAAGTGCCCCATTCCTGCACAGAGCAGCAGAGCCCCCGGAGCCTTCCTTAGGGATTTCCCAGCAAAGCAGCTCATTCTGGCCCCAGCCATGAGCCCCTGAAACTGCGTGACAAGGGTCAGAGTCCTGCTGGGCTCCTGCAGTGAGGGAAGGCCAAGGGAGCACCACAAATCTCAAGGACAGGCCTCAGGAGGGGCTGCTGATCCTGCTGATGGAATCAGACAGCAAAACGAGCCCCACAGTGGCCATCAGCTGAAAATCAGGGAGGGACTGGGGACACTCTGCAGCTGCCTCCACTGCCTGGCCCGTGGTGTGGGTGTGACACCAGCTCTGCCAGCGGCTCCTGGGGATGCTGCACAGGCACAGAGCACAACCAAGGGATAAACAGTCAAACTGCACCACGAATGTTTTCTGAAGGCTCTGCTGGGTCTGATTTCTGACCCAGAAGCTGCTGGGGAGTGAAGATGGGGTTAAGGTGAGGTTATTTTGGAGTCAGATGGATGCTGAGGGGGAGGCAGCTCAGGGGCAATTTGATTCTCTTGATTTCCCAGGTGAAACCTGACCCAGGCTCTGAGTTCACACTTAGCAAACAAAACATGTTGAGTTTTTTTGCTAAATGACTTGTTATACTCTAGAGAGCTTTGGAAAGCAATGATTGCAAATGACACCCATCCAGCCCCCTCAGCTCCCCAGTCCCCGCTAGCAATGAGATGATGGCACACAGAGAATTCCCAGCAGTTTGTGACTGCTCCCTCCTTCTGAATGACTCCCATAACCCCTCCTTTGCCCTGGTGCCCCACACATCTTGTTTAAGTTGATGGTTTAGAATGTCTCAGAAAAACCCTCAAGCCCCATTTTCTGGGATGCTTTGGAGGTGCTTTGGATGGATGGTGCAAAGCTGGGAAAGATTTGTGCTGATGAATTCAGTTGCGGCTTTGGCCATCATTTCCATTTCCTCATTAGCCACACTGAGGGAGGTGAGCACCTACATTCGTCTTTTCCAGGGCACAAGCTCACCCCTGGGGAGAGACAGGGAGCAAGCAGACCCTGAGCACAAGATGGGGGTGTTCAGGCAGTTCTGAGCTCCTCTGAAGCAGCACTTCATAAATCCTAGTCTTAAAAGGGCTCTGCAGCGCTGGCCCTCGCAGCCTGCCTGCAAGCAGGCGCATTTCACCGTGGGTATTGGGGCAGGTTTATCAGCCATGCTGTTGCTATTTTCTTGCCTGGCCCCCGTGGCCATTCATGTTTAGGTTTCAGTGATCGTTTAGCAAGCAGCCCCCATGCAGCCCACCCGGTGCAGGTGCTGGAGGGGGATATGTCCCCCCTTTTGCAGCTGGGGGGGGAGGCCGGTGGCTCCGTGGAGCCAGGAGCCGATGACAATGGGCAATTGTCAAATTGGGGCCCCTCTCGTTTGAGTTTTCTTCCTTTTATAGTAAGTAGCAGTTGCTCCAGCAGCTGGCCTGCCCCTCCAGGGTGAGCACTGGGCTCCGTATATAAGGGAAGGAGCAGGCTTTGCCTTTCATCCCTCCGTTTGCTTCCCTTGCTGGGCGGCAGGACTCATCCCGCACCTCCGCAAATCCAGCGCGATGCCGCTCAAGAAACCCGACCCGAAGAAGGAAGCAGCCAAAGCAGCTCCAGGCTCTGAGCCTGCCTTCGATCCCAAGAGCGTGAAGGTGAGTGAGGAATGAGGGAGGACGTCACCGTGTTTCTCCGTGCCTGTCATCTGCCAGGCACAGGCGATGCAAAGCGCTCTGCAAATGGCATTAGTCAGGCTGGAAGCCAGCCTCGGGAGGGGAAAATTATCCGATTGTGTGGATGCAGTAGGCTGGGACTGATGCTGTCCTCGCTGGGGAGATGTCTCGGTCTTCCCCACCCAGCCCTGCCCAGCACTCACTGGAAGGAACCAGGATGCCGCTCCCAGAGCTGCGGCTGCAGAGTCGAACCCCAGCTCCTGCTGAGACCCCGTGTCGGGGCCCCAGCAGCAATAAAAAGCTTCTCTGCCACCCACTGTCTCCATTCTGAAGTATTTTGTTGCCTGCATTGCCTCCTCCACATAAGAGCATCCTTTATCCAGTGGCTCCACAACAGGAACTCGCTTTTTCCATCATTCCTCAGGTTACTCACATTTTTAAGCCAGAGCTGTGGCAGGAGAGTTATTAAGAACAGGCTCAGCATGGAGGCTGTTTAATCACTTGAACTTGGGATCAGACACTAAAATAACATCCTTTCTACCCAAAATAGTCCTGACTGTGGTCTGAGTATCCATCTTGCCTGCCCACCCTGCTGCCAGCTGTGCTCTCCACAGGGACCTCAGCTCCACAGCGAGAGCAGAAGCACTGGGAGACACGGCACAGCCAGACATGGCACAGATCTGGGACACAGCATGGATACAGCCCCCTGCCCCAAGCCTGGGGAGGGAGAGGTCCAGAGGGGAGGGTTCCTTTGCTCCCCCCAGCAGTAGCCCACATCTCATACCTGGCTCTGCTTCCTTCTCTTTACAGATTGAATTCACGGCAGAGCAGATTGAAGGTAAGTGCTGAATTCAGCTTCTCTCAGAGATGGCCTTAGAAATGGGGAATCCTTTTACCAGGTAGTTTTTCACCATGGACACAAGAGCCAAGGCACCACACAAATCCCCTCTTGGGGCAAAGGCCAGCAGGATCCAGAGCCTGTCAGGGCAAAGGTATTTTTCATTCATAGTGCAAGATGCAGCTGGGGTCAAAGTCAGGGTTTCTGGTAGGAGGAACAGCCTCTGGCAACACAGGGACAGCCCCAGAGTGGAGAGAGTGGAAAAGGGGATAAGTAGGGATGTCCTGCAGCAAAGCCAGCTGCTGAGGGTGCAGGGATCCAGCAGGTCACCCAGCCAGTTCTGCAGAGGTGACAAAACCTGCTCAAGCAGCCAAGTGACTCATGCAAGGAGTCCGGCAAACCTCAGCCCGCATTGCACAAGCTCACTCAAGGCTGCAATGCCTTCAGAGGGCACAACATGCACGTGGCCATCCCTTCCCTGCTTGCCAGGCACAACGTGCTTCCCTGGGGTGGGAACAGGACCACTCCGGGCTCTTCTTCCCTGCAGAGTTCAGAGAAGCCTTTGGGCTGTTTGACCGGACGCCTGCGGGGACGATGCAGATCAGCTACGGACAGTGCGGGGACGTGCTCCGAGCGCTCGGCCACAACCCCACCAACGCAGAGGTCCTCAAGGTGCTGGGCAAGCCCAAACCAGAAGGTGACAGCAAGCTGGGGACAGGGTGGGACAAGAAATTCCTGTGCTCCCTGGCAGCAAGTAGAGGGTTACATTCCCTGGAGGAAGAACCCTGCAAGGTGAAGAAACTGGAAAGGAAATTATGCAGACAGGGCTTCATTCCCGTGTAATTCCTTCACTCCCCTTCCCCATACCATGGAGGATGACATGGATAGGCAGTCCTCACACTATGAATGGTGGAAAGTGATGCTTAGCAGACTTTATCCTGAACTGGTGCAAACTGGTATAACCAGACCAGTCCCAGTGCGACCACATTATTGTGGTGACAGACGACCCACCTGATGGTTTAGTTTTGGGCTGATGTCAGGGGTCTCTGTGCAGTTTGATACTTCGCTCATATTCCTCATATGGATCTTCCAATCTCAAGTCTAATATAATAGTTCTGTCTCCTCGTGGGGCTCTCCCCTGCGCTCCAATGAAATGAGACCAAGAGAGTTAATTAGGAGGTCCCCAGAGACTGAATTCAGGCCCATAAGGTTAATCTCTGACCCCATCTCCTCTCCTTCCAGAAATGAACACAAAGATGCTGGACTTTGAGACCTTCCTCCCCATCCTGCAGCACTTCACCCGCAACAAGGAGCATGGCACCTTTGAGGACTTTGTGGAAGGGCTGCGTGTGTTCGACAAGGAGGGCAACGGGATGGTCATGGGGGCCGAGCTGCGCCATGTGCTGGTCACACTGGGTATGGCTGGCCCTGGGCCTGGCCTCGGGGGGGAGCGAGGCATGGGACCCGGGCTCTTTCTGGGCAAGTGGCTCAGGTGGCTGGCTGGTCTCACATATTGCAGAGGCCCTTTTCACTCTGCTGCTCACAGGCTCTTTTAGGAGTCAGTAGTCCTGAATGTGTGGCCATTTCCATCTCATGCCACAGCTTCATGCACGACCCAGGCAAGACGGAGACTCCAGAACATCCTCAGTTATCAGACAACAGTTGCAGTGTGATCCCCTCCCCACCATCTCCCACCAGCATTCCTCAGTAGTGGCACACAGCTCTTCTTTAATCCCCTTCTCCTCCCTCTGGTGACTGGTTATCTGGAAGGACAGGAGGGTCCTGGCAGGCTGAAAACCCTTCCCCTCACCTCTCCATCCTCCTCTTCCAGGAGAGAAGATGACAGAAAGTGAGGTGGAGCAGCTCATGGCAGGGCAGGAAGATGCCAATGGCTGTATCAACTATGAAGGTAGGAGCAGGAGATTCCCACTGGGGCCATCTCAGACACAGCTGTCTTATCTTAGAGCGCAAAATGCATCCTCCACAAGGGCTCTGGTTGAACTTGATGATCTTAATGGTCTTTTCTAACCTTAATGATTCCATGATTCTGTGACATTCATGATCACTGGAAGGGAGGTCACTGGACCACCCTCCAAAACAAAGCCTTTCCAAAAAGCACTGAGACATGTCAGCTGGGGTGGGAGCAAGGTGGTTGTGCCAGTGATTTCCAGGAAAAGCAGCTGAAGACAGCATGTTTCCAAGGAGTTCAGGGCTGTTTTATCTACAGTTTTGGCACTGTTTTGTTGCAAGCTATTGAAAATAAACAAAGCCAGCATCTTTCCCAGCAGAGGCTAATTGGGAACATTTGGAGACCTGGATCACTCGCTGCTCCAAGAGGGTGAAAATCTGGAATACGAGGAATTAAAATGAAATTTAGGAACCCTTAAAATTGGAGAGCAGTGAGGAAAAGAGGGGACCCATTTCCCTTGGTCTCAGAAAAATGGAGGTAATGGTACCAGCTCATCTCCAAGGGTTGGCATCACTCTGACCAGGTTGGGGATGGCATGCAAAAAATGGGAACAGAAAGAGGAATATTAGTCCTGGCAGAGCATCCCCTTCATCCCAGGGGGGTCCAAGCTAGGGGTCCCCCCTGCTGCCTCACCACCTGCCCCTGCTTTCCCCAGCTCACAGCATGTCCTGACCCCTCACGCTCTCATTTCTCCTCAGCTTTTGTCAAGCACATCATGTCTGGCTGAAATGAGAAACTTCAGGTGAGTTCAGTGGCGTCTCCTGCTGCTCACTCCAAAATTGGAAATCCTGCAAGTAACAGCCACGGGCAGAGAAGCCAAAACCCAAACCTGCAGTGGATTAATGCCACAGGAATAATCCCAGCTCTGAAGGCGCAAAAGTTATGTTGATGATAAGGAATTTCATTTGTAACTCCTGCCAATTAAAATTTATCAGGACATCATCACCCCTATGATGGTCATTTGTAGTCTGGGTAATTGTGTGGAGTCTCTGTTCGGAAAGAAAAATTTTCCATGGATATTTGTTAAACTTCTTCGTGTTCCTTGAGATCAGCCTGAGGAAAACAGAGAAACATTGTTAAGAGGATGAGGTTTCTTTGAAGGTGAATTATTCCTCTAAAATCTATTCAATTGAAAAAAAAAATCCAAACTGCTGCCTGGCCCCAGCTTCCCCTGTCAATTTCTTATGACTTCATTATCTATTTACCCTTTTAAATATTTCTCCTACCCCTCACTGCCCCTCAGCTATGTAAAAGGCAGGCAGCCAGGGAAAAAAAAAAGTAAAAATTACCTTCAGACATTGCTAAATACAGAAATCAAACATTTAAAAATCTCTCCCCTCCCAAAATCTCTTTAAACATCAGAAGGTTAAAATGCAGACAGGCAGAAGTCTGAACTTTGAATGTTCAGCATCCTTTTTATCTTCTTTTTAATCCATTTCTCTCCAGTTCCTGTTCATCAGCTCAGCAATATAGATGGTTGGGTGGCAAAAGCTACCAGGAGATTTAATTCTTCACATAACTATTTGCATATAAAACTCTTTAAAATGGTGTTGAATTACAGCTCTTGACAGTTTGGGTTCAACTGAGAAGGAGTACTCTGAATACTCTCATCCCAAAGATTCTTTGCATTCAGTCCTCTCCCTCGTCTCCAAGGCTCTCAGAAATGCTTGGACCCACCTCAGCACCATGAAGAGTGAGATTCCTCCATCCACGTCCCTCCCCTGGCATGTTTTGCCTAAGCTGTCGCAAAGTGTCCGTCACCACGTGTGTGTACCTAAGCCTGGTGTTCGATGACATACCCGCACCTAATTACTCTTTTCAGGTTTTCCCTGTGACATTTGTCTAACTACATTTCATTCCTTCCTCCCTTACATGGTTTGTTTGCTTTGGCTGGGGACCACCTATTGATGGGGTGGGTGGAGGAGACCCCTCGGTAGTTCTGGGCCAGGTCCACCCTCATGGTGTGGGGTGTCCCTGGGGTGTGGGCAGTGTCCTGCCTGGGATGGAGCCCAGCCAGGATGGGCTCTCTGGGTGGTTCTTCTCCAGGCAGATGCTGTGTTCCAGCCAGGAGCTGTCTGGGGCCTGTGTGATACAAGCTGGTGACTCTCTCCCTCTTCCTACCTGCAAAGCAATCTTCAGAGCACCACCACAAGCGGTGAATAATTCATGACATGTAACTCAGCCTTCCCATGAGCAGAACACCTGGGAGCAGAAAACGCTTTCCTTTGATTTGTTCCTTCTTCCAATGTCCTCACTCTGACTTTGACTAGAAATTGAAGGCATTTTTGCTCCAATGTGTTGACTTCAGCTGCCACTCGCTCGTTCCTGTGCAATGACTAACAGCTGCTTTCAATCCCCACTGTTTGATTCAACTGCTCATAAAAAGCAACATAAGCTGTTTATAGATGCAAGATTAGATTTGAGCTCCTCTCTCTGCTATTCCTACAGCTTCCATTGGGCAGGATCTGAGCACCTCATGTTTTTAATGTACTATCTGTGCTTTAACCTCCTAGAGGGCTGTGGTGACAGGGTCAGAAGGGACCCTGCTTGCTCTGGGGTCACATTTGTCCTTGTCACCAATGTGGCACCAACTCCTGCAGCAGAACGTGCTGTAGCAGAGAGGAATGGAGCAGAGGAAAGGTGGGGACCTGCCTCAACTCACAGAGGAAATCCTCAGCAGGGACTGGGGACCCTGGAGCCATGACATCCCTGCTATAGCCATGATATTCCTGCTACAGCCGTGATATCCCTGCTAGCCTTGACACTCCTACTGAAGCCATGATATCCCTACTAGCCTTGATATCTCTGCTAGCTGTGATATTCCTGCAATAGCTGTGATACTGCTGCCCTTCAAGCCAAGAGGCTGCACTCTCACTCCTCTGTGCAGAACACAGGCCTTTTGTTTGAGCCCCCATCTTCAATGCTGAAAGGAGTAACACTAAATTAAAACCAAAGTGAGACCTTCAAAGGGACAGACAGAAAGCAAGCAGTGGGAAACCACAGAAGTACAGGAAAATAGTTTTCTATGTGAAAAATCCAGCTCTTGAAGGCCCCTTGGAGGAAGAACCAGCCACACTTTACTTTGGAGGATCTGTTGTGTCTCTTTAGGATAAAGCAGAGCTGGTTTGTAGCAAAGCAGGTTGGAATGATGCACTTGAACAGGCACAGTATGTCTGTCTGTACCTCTGTTTGTGCTTCCATGCCTCTTCCCCTGGCAAGGCTGCTCCCCTTCTCCGCTGGGAAAGTTGAGGATTCCACAGAGAAAGCAGCTTTAGTCCCATGGACATTTATAAAAGCATCTGTGGGTGCCAGTGAGCGACCCCACAGGCAGAACTGCACCATAGGACTGAGGAGTCTCTTAAATCCAGATCTCCAAAGACAATAGCAAACACTGACCTTTTACAGTTTGGATGTTTTACATGAATTCCAGGAGACTCTGAGAAGTGGTACAAGGAGCCCCCATGCTCCAGAGAGCCTGTATCTCCTCGGGCTGTGATAAGACAGACTCTCATACCAAAGAAGGTCTGGATGTCAGGAGTTCTGTGCCCTGGGGAATGGGAGAGACAGAAGGAGCCAGCTTTCATCCCCAGGAGGAGTTATCTGCAGTGCATGAGATCAGGAGGAGGGTGAACATGGACTGTGCTCCTTGAAAGGCTGCTTGGAGCCTCACACCATATATACACACCACCATCATCAACATCACCGAGGCCAAAGGCCTTCAGGGGAGGAGACACTTCACTGCCATGTTACTCACACCCTCCTATCTGGCAAAATGACTTGGATCAACCTGATTAGGAGGCCAGGTATCCATCTCAGGGTTTGTCTCAGGTGAAGGATTGAAGAAAGCTTTGCCTGCTCACACCCTGAAAGCAAACAACTGCAGATTTGCTGCCAATAACAAATTTGTAACTACACTTTTCAGAAATGCAGAGGAAGTGGGGAAGGAGGCAGGCTGAGCTCTCCCACTCCACACAGAGCTTCGATTCTCAACTAAAGATACAGCCCCTGCTCACGTGGGCTCGGCAGCACATCAGGATCTGACCTTCGGGCCTGAATGCAAGCGCAAAGCCCTGAACAGAGCAGGATGGAGCACAGAGTCTGTGTGTAGGTGTGTGTGCATTGGGGTGCTCCTACGGCTGATTCAGCAAGCCCACAGAAGGATTTGGAGAAGGAAGGCTTCTGCTAGCTGCAGGTGTCTATTGATAGGTCAGTATTTTTAATAAATTGAGGTTTACTTGTGCATCTTTATTCCATTATTTTGTAAAAAAAGCAAAATATGTGCCAGATATCACACTTTCAACCACATCCAAGCTTTAATTGGCCTGCCTTGTATTTATACCCCGGTCTGCCAGTTTTAATCCTGGATATGAGGACATCACCAGGAGTTTCTTCACGGAATGGGTTGTTAAACATTGGCAGGGGCTGCCCAGGGAGCTGGTGGAGACGCTGTCCCTGGAAGTGTCCAAGGAACAACTGGACGCGGCACTCAGTGCTCTGTCTATTGACAAGGCAGCGATCAGTCACAGGTCGATGACTCGATGATCTGGAAGGTCTTTTTCAACCCACATGATCCTGCGATTTTGTGATATCGTGGCTGAACCTACCTGGAGAGCACCATCAGCATGGACCCCTCAGTGACGGGGATAGGACCTGGGCCGTGTTGACCCCGATGCTGGGAATGGGGACACGGGAACCACCAACCAAACGCAGCGCAGGCGGCCGGGCTGGCTCAGGATGCGCTGGTGATGACAGGAGGGAGTCCTTGGAACAGCACCCCGAAAAACGCGGCGGTTCCCGACAGAGCTGGGGATCCCCAGAGTCCGTTCTGTGGCACAAAGTACAAGTTCTACATTCCATGGGTAGAACTTCCAGAGCAAAGGCTTTCTGAGGGACCAGCCACAGGCCCTGACGGAGGTTCACCAGCCGCCTCACGTTCGTCCATCTCCGTCTCTGCTCGGACATCTCCGTCCTAGCTCGTACGGCTCCGTTCCATCTCGGCCATCTCCGTTCCTGCTCGGCCACCTCCGCCGCAGTTCGGCCACCTCCGGCGCCGACTAGTTTCCTCCCGGCTGCCGAGCGCGGCTTTCCCAGCTGTTTTCCGTCGAGGCTCGGCTCTTTCCGCCTGCCCCTTCGGCTATTTCCGGCGGACGGTTCGGGTATTTCCGCCGCCGGTTCGGGCGGATTCGGCGCCCGCCGGCCTCGCTCGCTCCGGTAACGGTCGGTGCGGGTTCAAATGAGCCGCGGCCGGGCCGGGCCCCGCCGTGACTCGCTCTGAGCCGGGCCGGGACCGGGGCCACCCCGCTCGGGCTCGGCGACCAGGAGGCGGAGGCCGGGGAAAGCAGGATGACGGTGCTGCAGGAACCCGTCCAGGTACCGACCCCCGGGCGGCTCAGGCCCCAAAGCCCGGCCCGGCCCGGGTTAGGCCGCCCCGCCCGCTCCGGGGCCGGGGCTCCGGGGCGTTCCCGGCCGCCCCTCAGCCGGTGGGCCCGCAGGACCTTCAGCTCCTCCGCCCTCCCTCCCGCCGGAGCCCGCCGGGCTTCCCCTTCCAGCCTGCCGTCCCCATCCCCGGGCCGGCCGCGCTCGCCCCTCTGCTCCCCGGGCCCCTGAGGGAGGTGTCGGTCTCCCCGCAGCTCCTCAACCGATTCGGCTCCCACGAAAGGTCCCCCCGCGGATCCCCCGGGAGACCTGTTGATACTTCGCTCACCTTTCTGCGTTTGTTGCCGTGTCGTGTTTAAATGCTCGCAGCGTGCTCGGATCCTTCCGTGTGGTGCGAGTGAAGGACGTTCCTTCTTCCCAAGGAGTTGATTCCTTCGGATTGATGGGAGACCTAGGAGAGAAAATAATGTAATTTTCGTTTTTCTCTCGTGTTTCAGTCTCACTGCAGTTGCTCTGATGGGTTTCCTGTTCTTGTGCTCAGCCTTCCCATCCAAAAGTCGTGATTCACGGAATTAAGAGCTGCTTTTTCTTCTGCAGTTCCTGTGTGCCCATTCGCTAACTACTCGTCATCTTCATCAATCAGTCGTCTTACTCATGTTCCCATTCTTTTTTTAAAATGTATTTCTATAATTTTAACAGGATGTTTTGGCTTTTTTTCTAGTTACAGTGAGAGGTTCCTGGCAGAAGTGTCTTGTTAGAGCACGATTGTGTTCTGTAATTAACATAGTGAGAATTCTTGCTTTTGACTCTTTTCTTTCTAATGAAAAGGTGGAAGGGGAAGAAAGGCTCCTGTGGAAAGCCATGCTGCTGACTTGACCCTGTCTGTGGAAGATGGTGGCTGTGAGGGCATTCTTGTAGACCAGGGTTTGTGTCCTTGATGTCACCGCTCTCTTCATCGCCTCTGAGAGCAAGGGTCAGCGCAGTGCTGGAAATGCTTTTGGCCACTTGGTCCATCTCCTGCAGAGGCCATCCTGCATTGGTGTTAGCTTTGGAGCTGGGCTGGTTGTTTTGCACCACTTGGGTATTCTAGGAAAACATGGGATTACAATAGAAAAGGAAGCAAGAATGCTTGCTGCAGTGTGAATGAGTGAAGCTGACCGGAAACCATACCAAATGTTTCCTGTGCTGTGCTAACTAGACTGACCAAGTGGAAATATCTGCTCTTCTGAGAGCTCCCTGAGAGAAATGTGTAGAGTTTCAGCAAGGTAAAGATCTCTCTTATGCTGTTCTCCATTCTTAACCTCTTCCAAGCTTGGATGTTTTGATGGGGCTTCGCTATGTTGAATATATCTATTTAAATTGACTATATCTATTTAGATTCTGCTTTTAAATGACAGATCATTCCTTTAGCAGTAGTTCTGCTGCTTTCAGTTTTACTGCTGTTCTTGCTTACAGGAGTGCTAGTAAGTTTAGGACTTCTTTGTGACTGGGTAAAGTCCATTGCATTTTTGAATTCCCGGTTTAGCTGAAGTCTACATACTTAGCTCTGTTTTTATAATTTTCTTAAATTAAATTATTGGGAAAGGTGACAGTACTCATTTTTGTCATTGCAGAAATTTTTCCTGTTTGTCTGTTCTCTCCCAATCTTTCAGATACCTACAGGGCTCAGCATTCCAGGAAAAAACCTGTCATCCTTACATTCTCACAGCTCAATGTTACTTATTTGTCACAGTGTGACAGATAAATAACAGAATTTGTGTTTGTATGTAGTCTCATATGTCTTGTGCTTTAAATGAAATTCATGTCCCAGAAGGCATCCTGGCCACTGGTTAGGTTTTTGCTAACTTTTAAAATTCTTTTAAGTTGAACAAAGTGCCAGAGTTTACAGCCCTGTGCTATACTTCCTGATACGGTCAATTTAAAACCCTTCAGCTCCAACATAAAACACCGAGTCCCATGTCCTGAGAAATAGGCTGGATGCCTTCGAAATACTTCTGAAAAACATCTTGGAAAGAAAATGAGCACTTTGCTTGGAATTCAGCTGTTCAAGGTGATCATCTGCTGTGACTCACTGGAATGGTGCTTGAACTTGGCTGCAAACTGCAGGACCAACGTGTGCTTGTTCAGCGGGCAGAGTTTGTGTAACTGGGGAATGCAGCACAGCCCATCCCAGAGCTCTCTTCCTCCCTGCCCACCCTGAAGATTGAAATCATGGCAGAATCTGCTTAGCATGGCAATATAGGCTAAACAGCTTGGAAAATAATTTCCAAGGCTGTATAACTGTCAGAAGAGAACATCTCTTAAGAGCTGTTTGGCTTAGATATAAAGTGACACTTGGACAATGCACAGGATGTTCTGGGTAGAAGATGGACCTGTCTGAACCTTGATTTTATTTTCCTGCTCTCCTCTCTGAAGATGCCTTGCTGCAGGGCTGTGTATGGTAGTTTTGGAATTCCCTATTCATTTTGCATTTCAAATTAATTATTTTTCAAAAGGGTGATTAGGACCTGGAGGTTCATTGTCTCTACAAGCACACTTGAATAAAATGTGGAAACACTTCCAACATTTCTCCTTCCTGTGATGCAGCCCTGAGAACAGGGCTGAGAAGACTCTTCTGGTGTGGTTTAGCAGTTGTGTGCCACTAGTGCTGTGCACGTGCATTGTGCTTCTTCTAGAACAAACTAAACTACTGTGCTATATTGAGATTAATGTTCCTGTCCTAAATGGTGGGCAAGAAATCCTCTTTCGTCAGGCACAGTCATGGTTTAGACATCTGTTCCCGTGGAAAACTGTTGCTGCATAGGTATGGCTGATTCCCTGCTACCTTTTTTTCCTTTTCCTGCTTTCAGGAGAGTGTGTGTGAGGATCCAGATGCCCGCATGGGTCATTTCAGGGCAGGAGGCATGTTTTGGGCTGCAATCTGATAATTGCTACAGAACAGAGATTCTGCTAGCCCGTTTCTTGCTTTCACTGGTACTCTGCTCCACAAAGATAGTTATTTGAGCCAGTGTGTAGTGTAACTCTTATAAAGTGGCTGTGACATAGCCCCAAATCCCTCGTGTCTCGTCTTAGCCTTCGGCAGGATTGTTCCTGGCAACTTGCTCTTGTTTGAGCAGTCAGGTGATCCTGATTTTCCCACTCCCACCCCCACACCTTTGTTTTGCCAGCTGGCTGAGTTACAGCCCTGCAAAGCCAGGCTTTTTAACCTGCCACAACTTGGCTGGATTCATCTAAATGTCACTTGTGACTTGGTGAAGGAAGAGCTGCTTTTGGGAGCAAGAGAAATGGGAGACCTTGGGTTGCTCTGGCTTCAGGATGGCTTAAAAGATTGTAACCCTGACTTTTTATCTCCCTGTTTGTCCTGCTCTGTCTGTGGGGTGTGGAGCCACCTTCAGCCTGGGAACCTTTCAAGGCAGCAGGGAGTAATCATTTCAGGAGGCTCTGAGGCTCAGTTATCTGAAATATGAAATACAACCAGAGAGAAACAATAGTGTGTTTGTATTGCAATGATCAAATGAAGAGAATTCACTTTTAAATACATCCAAATACTTTCACACAAGCTTAAAAGCACCTGTTGAATTCTTAAGTGTGTTCCTGGGACCGACTGATAGGAGAAAACAGGCTCTCTGCAGGGATTTGTGTATAATATTCCCTGTAGTACTTGGGAGCTCTGGTGTGTTCTGTTCATGACGGCTGTGTGGGCTTCCCGTGAAGAGAACTTGCACAGTTTTCACACCCTGTGTTTGTCAAGTTTGTGTTGGAAGAAGTAGCATATGGTACATGTAACTCGGTGATGTTAGGATTTTTTATTTTTTTTAGATCAAACTGGTGCTTGTCTTTCCCACTGGGAATAGCTCTTCAGGGCAGTATTGCTTTCCTGTGGAAGATTTCTTTTAGTTTTGGTGTGTCTCATGGGTTTTAGATGCAGATTCTGTTTTTCTTTAGTTGCTGATGAGTATTAGAGAAATTCTAGATCACAGTGCCTTGAACTCCTAAATTCAGATCTCATTTGGGATCAGTAACAGCAAAACTACTGCAAAATGGCTCTTTGCTGCTGATGAAAAAGGGCTTTGGAACTGAAACAAAGACCCTAGATGGGAAGGAACTGCTGTCCTGATCCCAACCCTGCCCACCTTGGAGCACAAAGTCTGATGAGCATGCACAGCACCCTTGGAGTAGGTGGGGAGGAAAGGCTGAACAGGTCTTAAATGATTTTTCAAATCCCAGCCTTCTTTTACAGATAACAGACAACTTTTAATGTGATCTGAAGAAAGTTGGCCGAGCAGTTTGTGTGAAACCCTCTTATCCCAGCCCTGGACAGCTCTTGTTTGTCAGCTACTGGTGACAGCAGTGCAAGTAAATGACACCTGCTTTGGTGGTGTGCAGCTTGTACCCCTGTGTGCATGTTTATTTCTCTGGAGTTGTGCCATCCTTCCAGTCTGCACAAATATTGGTTGTCACAAACCCAAACTTGGTGATCATGAAAAAGTAAACAGTACCCAGGAGCAGGATTTGGCCAAGTGTGTGTGAGCAGAATCAGAAGTAGGTTGTGTTCATCTGAGGCTATAGAATACAAGTTGTCCATTTCATTTGCATTGCGTTTGTTCTTGGGTGCTGCTTCACAGCTGGTGGCAGCGAAGAGGTGGCTGAAGGCCCCACAAAAAGCTGCACAAAAAGCACTGGATCCTGTTCACCTTGGCCCTTAAGGGAACACTGATGCCTCTTCAGGGAAGATCCTTTATACTAGGATGTTTAATCAACACCAGTCTCATCTTGAACACTGACAAGTTTCTGGGCCTGTTGGGTTTTGCTTTGGCATCTTGGGGAGATGCTTTAATGGGGTACTCTGACCAGTTAGGGTTGGATTTTGGTTTTGTCTTTACTGAAGGTGTTGTTGTTTGGTGGTAGTTTGCAGTAATTCCTGCTGAGTTGTGCACCAGGCTAAAACTCAGTAATTTCTGAGGGGTTTGGATGGATGTGTCTGGTAACGAGTGAGGAACACTCTAAGGTTGATTCATTACTTCAGTGCACAGTTTGGTGGGGTTTTTTTAAGCCTCCTTACTAATAGCTGAAACAAATACAACTTGGCTGGCATGTTCATCCTCCCCTTTCTTTTTAGGGCTCTATAAAACCAAGCTGAACTTTGCCTTTTGACAGTAAGAGCTAATGGGCTTTTCTAATTTTGAAAGCATCCCCACTAAATGAAGATGATTTTCTTGCCTTGCAGGCTGCTATCTGGCAAGCACTGAACCACTACGCGTACCGCGATGCCGTGTTCCTCGCAGAAAGGTTATATGCAGAAGGTGTGTACTTTGGAATTATAAAGCTGATGCTTTTTTTCATTTTTAATTTGGGATATTTGAGCCTCTGCTCCTGCTTTGTTTTCCTGCTGTTCTGATAATGTTTAGCTTTCTGCTTGGGGAAAGCAGAGGAATGCCTTGCAATTAGGTTGGAAAATCAAATCATGTAACAGCAGCAGTGTTATTTTATGGTAAAATCTCCTCAAAATTAAACTCAGATTTGTGTGTTTGAATGCAGTGTTTACAGTGATCTGGTTTATGGTAACAAATAGGAGAATGTTGGGGGTTTTTAGTAACCCTCAGGCATTGCATGTCTTCCAAGGGCACTTGAGGATAGATGCAGCACACAAATTCTGCAAATTGGCTTGACATTGAAAGCTGTCTTTGCTAATAATGCTGCTCAGATATGTTGATTGGCTCAAAGAGAGTCTTGTGATGGTGAGAGAAAAGCACTGTGAAATTGAGACAGTGAGAATCAGAGGATATGGAAGAGGTATCTCCTGCTGAATCCCTGCTAATTGTTACTTCATTGTAAAGCTGTCAGGGCTGGGGTATCTTGGATAGTGAGCAGGCAGCAGTAACACAAATCTGTACTTCCTCTGGGTCCTTTAAACACTTTGTCAGTGTGTTCTAGCACCTTTAATTTCTTTAACCTTCTCTCCATGACCTCAGAGAAGTTTTTTGTTCTTCTGTACTTCTTTCTCCTTGTTACTTGTGGTCAGCTTTCCTTCTCTATTTTGAAAGGTATTGTTCTCTAATCACTAACACAAAAAACACCTCAATCCTTATGCTAAAATACAAGCATCATACCATTTCTCATGCTAAACAACCTGAGCTTATAGTTTGAATTAAACTGTATAAGCTATTTCATGCTCTGTTTTGTAATGAAGTATTTTGCCTGCCATGCCCGCAATGCAGTTCTTAACAATGGAAACACAAACCTAAGTTTTGAGAAATAAAGGCTTCTTTTTCCTTGTGTCAGGGTTACAAATGGAATCTGAGGTGTTTGATCTGGTGCTGAAATGAGTAATGTTGTGTAGAATGTTATGGAACCTGGTAATCCAGGTGTTCATGAAGAAAATAGTATTTGAGGGATGACAGAGCTCCCCTGAACACAACACACTGTGAGGTGCAGGGAAATGGTAGATTGAAGGTAATTGCCAAGGATTTAGGAACAAAGAGAATCCATTTTTTGCAGCAGCCAGGAGGAAAAGACCTGACTTGATAGAGGCACATCTTTACAGAATGATTCTCTGCAAGAGTACTTCAAACAGCCTTTTTCAGTGGCCAGCAGTGCTGAGAGAAAGCAGCGTGAATACTGACATTTGGTGCAAGCAATTAACTGCTAACAAAACATCTGGCTCCTGGTTAAAATAAGTGGTTACTCTGCAGAGTGGAAGCTGCAGAACTTGAATGCAATGGCTCCATGTTGGCAGGAGTGATTTCACCCAGAGAAGAACTTCTTTTAAGTCTACCTGCAGTTCCTGTCCTTGATGGGACATCTGTGGCTTGGTCATTTCCCAGAGCTCTCAAAGTCTGCTAAAGTACTGGATAAAAATTGATTTAACTTGAATTTTCAAAAGGTCTTCTGGTGTTTTTAGGATAAGGCTAATAAAATGTCCTCTGTTTGGGTCTTCTGTTTCCATTGTCACTGTCCAGGTGATGACAAAAACTTAAAATAGTCAGTTTCCAGTGAAGCAGAGGATTTGGGCAGATTCCCAAAGAGGTTTTTATATAGTGCTCATATTGATTTTTCTAAAGATTTCCCTATGGGTGAGTGAACAGACATCAAAATTGTTTGTTTAATGCTGAATTCCATTTGCAGGATAATGTCTTCTGAAAAGTTAAAAGATAATGTGGGTTATTAATTGTTTGCAGTTTGAAGTTGCTCATGTTCATACACAGCTTTTGATTTAAAATATCATTGTGTGAGGGTGAGTGTAACATTTGGAGAAGTACAGAGAATGAGTTAAGTCACCATGGATGTACAAAATCTGTGAGTTTACAGAAAGGATTAAAGTTTCTTCAGGGGTTAATTCTGTCCTTTATGGTGTAATCACAAGTGGGTCTGACCTCAGTCTCAAGCCTGGATGCCAAGTCAAGGTCTTTGAGTAGAACGTCCTCAGCGTGGTACGTAATTCATTGCAGCATCAGGAAGCCAACATCAAATCTAAATAATTCCAGTCTCTGCCATAAGGAAGTGTTTCTGCCCTGATCCCTCTTGTTCTCTGTTTAAATAGAGATGACTTTTCCTGATGCTTGACTACTTCATCCGGAATTTAGAAACTTATGAGATCTCAGCTTGGGAAAAGGATTTATGGAATCACAGAATCCCAGAGTGGTTTATGTTGGAAGTGACCTCGAAGCCCATCCAGTCCCACCCCTGCCATGGGCAGTGACACCTCCCAGTGTCCCAGGCTGCCCCAAGCCCTGTGCAGGTTGTAGGAGAGCTTGTCCCTATTGCTAGTTCCCAACATAAAGCAGCCAAAGCATCTGAATGATGCTGTTAAGCCACGTTCCCAGTGAAATGAGAGTGGGCAGCAGAAAGGTCAGGATTCAGTGTTGGTGAAGACCAGTAACTGACCAACTTTAATAGTCATTAAAATCAGAAAATCTCCACTGAGAGATGTGAAGGTAAAACATTGAATGCTTTAGAACAAGAACAGAAAAAAAATTGCAAATGGAAAAAGACCACTTGAAATTGGGATTAAAACTGGCTACTTGGGCTGGAATAGATCTTCCTTCTGGAGGCTGTTGTAGCAGCCATTGTTGTGCCAGTGTTTATGCACTCCTTAAAGTAGTGCAGAGTGTTGGTGGCAGGTGTGGTGACACTGAACCAAGTCAGGCTTGGTGTGGCCGACAGGTTGTTAAAGTAACTCTGGCCTGGCTGCTTTGCTCGGCTTGCTGCTGTTCTAAGTACAAACTGGCTCATCACTTACTCAGGTTGGGTAGCCAGAAGGATCAAAGTTCCTTTACACTTGTAGGTGTTAAGAGTTGAGCTGACTAGCCAAGGGAATGGTATTGGAACTCTGGTAATCACCAACAGATGAAAAAGACTTCATTCAGGAATTAATTTCTAGTACCGTACCCATTTTTTTTCCACCTTGTCCATAGTTGGCTTTTACTCCCTGCCCCAAAATTATTTGTACTAAAATGATTAACATCTAACTGATGATTTGGTTTTCCAGTACACTCAGAAGAAGCACTGTTTTTACTGGCAACGTGTTACTACCGCTCAGGAAAGGCCTACAAAGCTTACAGGCTCCTAAAGGGACACAGCTGTACCACCCCACAGTGTAAATACCTGCTTGCAAAATGTTGTGTGGACCTCAGCAAGTAAGTAAATCCTTCGTGTTCTGTCCAGGGTTACAAATGGATTTATTTTTTTGCTTGGATTTATCCTTTGGACATGTCATCTTGTATAAACTAGAAATTCATTGGTCTCTCAGCACAAAAGATTATAAGTTCAATTTATTTTGTTTTCAGATACGATCTAATGAGCCGTGTTGCAAAAACCTCTAAAAGCTGTTGAGTAACTTAGACAGGAATTGCCAAGCTGTGTAGAGAGAATGTGAGCTCATTTATACAGCTCTGCTTGTTATTTTCTTGTGGGGATGGTCTGTGCTGATAGAAGCATACACCTACAAGTAAAATTTCAAGTGGTGTCAAGAAAAGGTGGTTTGTTTGTTCAGACCAGGTGTTTGGACTCTGATGCCTGAAAAATGCCTCCCACCTCAGCAGTTGTATAAAGTAATTTTGAAGCCTGACAACCAGTGGCTCATTCTGTGTGAGTAGTGCTGCTCCTGCAGGTGGAGAAGGTGCAAACTGAGCCTTTGTTCTCCTTTTGAGCCCTTCTGGCAAGGAGGAAAGGCTCCAAAATCTTTGCCATATCCTGATACTGGCTCTTAACTCGGCCTTACAGATTGTATTTCTTTGGGAAACAAAACCAAATTAAGCACTGCTTTAGCTTAGGTGAAGCACCTTCAAAGATCAAGTATCTTGAAGATTATCTTGTCCTTTATCCTAGGATTGATCACTTTTGGAAAAGTCATGCCACTTTGTGCCTCTGGGTTTGTTTTGTTTCTCTTCCCTCCCAGTAGAGCTGTTTGACTGCAGAGTCCTGAACCTCCCTGTGGTAGAGGAATCCATTGGTTACTTAACCTTCATTTGCAGGAACTGGTTTTTGGTTTAAAACCTGTGAACACTGACAGTGGATTTCTGTTTTTGTTTGCAGCAGGCTGAAAACACTGGACTTCCAGTACTGTGAGCCTTGTAACCCCTTTAAACCTCTTGTTTTTTAAAAAGGCTTGCAGAAGGAGAGCAGATCTTGTCTGGTGGAGTGTTGAATAAACAGAAAAGCCATGATGACATTGTTATGGAGTTTGGTGACTCTGCATGCTTTACACTCTCCTTACTGGGACATGTCTACTGGTAAGGTTGCTTTTTCATTTTGCCCAGTAAAGTTGGAAGGTTTTTACTTGACCAAGCCCAGGTTTAGCCAAACATATCCTTGGTCATTACAGGAGACACTTCTCTCTGGATTACACCATTATTCAGGCAGATAGTTGTGGAATCAGTCTGATTTGGAAATGCAAGAATGATTTAGTTTTCACCCAAAGATTGAAAACACAAATTCCTCTCTCCCAGGTGGATAAGAATGCAATCCAAGAGTCTGAATTTTTTATATACCTTTGGATTTGCTCTGTATTCTTCCCTGAGGAAAGCTCTAAGCTTGTCTCTCAGTGTTACCATTTAGATTTTTACTATCTGTGTTGTATGTGTGTAGCTCTTACCTTCAAATCAATGTTCTGAGGGTGCCAGGCAGAATAACTTGACAATTTAAGTGCTTTGATTTTGCCAGGATGCAAGAAAGGTTTCAGTAAATGTGAATGATTGATTGAATGGGAGTAGTTGGGCTCTTGGATTCTTCTCTACTATATCTCGTCTCAATTATTTTCAAGATTATTTCTTTGTAGCCAAATACTTAAGTGTTCAGTTTAGCCCTAATTTCTTTGCAAAAATATTATCCATCGATACTTAAGATGGCTGGAAGGCTGGCAATCAGGTTACTGTTGGCAAAAAGGAAGCAAGCTGTTGCAAAGAACTGCATCTTCCTAGAAATGAAAATTCTCAAGCTATTGTAGTGCTTATGTAACTTTTTTTGACAACTGTGTCTAAATATGTCAAGTAACTTCAAAAGAACAAAGTATTTCTCAGGCTTGAAAAATGAGAAATGTTTCTATGCCTCTCAACGTGTTTTTGTTTTTCAACTCCTCTTCTGGAAAAGTCTCTTGAACAAAAGTGCTGTTCTGAAGTTTCCCTGTGAACTGTTTCTTTTTGCAGCAAGACAGACCGGCTTGCCAAAGGATCAGAATGTTACCAAAAGAGCCTTAGTTTAAATCCTTTCCTCTGGTCCCCTTTTGAATCACTATGTGAAATAGGTGAGTCTGCACAACTGTTTTACTCATGTAATTCATTGGAGAGATTTTTGTGAGCAACCATTAATTTAAAATACTTTGCCATTGGTTAAAATTTGTCTTATTTTCTTCTGTCCTTATTATTTATATACTTTTAGATCTAACAATCCAAGTGTGCTTTCCAGCCTACATTTAGGAGACACTTTGAAACTGTTTCTGAGAATAGCTTGAACAAACAATAAATGAAAATTATTAAGCATATTGATTGTCCAGGGTTTTGTAGGTGAAGAATGGAAGAACACTTCTGTTTTAGTCCAAAGGGCTCAGAGTGACGTGGTCTAGTGAAGGGTGTCCCTGCTTATTGCAGAGGGCTGGAATGAGATGTTCGTTAAGGTCCCTTCCAACACAAGCCAAATGTTCTATGATTCTAGGAAATGTTTAAAACACTTCCCAAATCCTCTGTCCCTTGTTCTTGATTCAGACTGAATATTCAGTGTCTAGACTCAGGAATAACTATTTAATCTCCTTCCACTGTTACAGGTGAAAAGCCAGACCCTGACCAAACATTTAAATTAACATCCTTACAGAACTTCAGCAGCTGTCTGCCCAACACTTGCACAACGTTGGTGTCTAATCATAACATATCCCACAGACAGCCTGAGAGTGTCCTCATGGAGACACCCCAGGACACAATTGTGAGTTTTGCTCGAATCATTGTAAAATCGTTTGCTAAAATTGGTGCTTTTTTCCAGCTTAACTGAAAAGCGTTAATTAAACTATGCCCTAAGTACCTAAGAGCTGCCTTTTATTCTTCAGGAGTTGAACAGAATCAACCTAGAATCCTCCAATTCAAAGTATTCCTCCTTGAATTCGGATTCTTCCATGTCTTACATTGACTCGGCCGTGATTTCCTCGGATTCTGTCCCTCTGGGGTCAGGAACTGCCATATTGTCCAAACAGGCTCAAAATAAACCAAAAACTGGACGGAGTTTGCTGGGGGGACCTGCAACTTTGAGCCCACTAACTCCAAGGTAAGTCCTTGGGATGGCCAAGCTCTGATGGCCAGGGCTGAGCTGCTGCGGGTGTTTGGAGCAGGAGGGCTGGTGCTGCACAGCACACTGACACACGTGGTGGTGGAGTTTGTGAACAGTGCTCTACAGGGAAACCCAGACAACTTCAGCAGCTGCTCTTGCTCCTACTGTTGATCTCTTCTGGTTTTTAAACAAACAGTTGGTTATTTGGAGAGGAATTGTTGATTGACAATATTGCTTATTGTCATGTTCTCACTTGAAAAAAAATCTCTGAAGGAATATGCAACTGCTCTGGAATAAATTTCATTATGAAAGGCTGCTGTAAAGAGCTTTTCTTGAAGTACAACTCCTGATGATCCTGTCGGTCCCTTCCAGCTCAGGATATTCCATGACCTGGCTCTCTGTTTTAACCCCTGCATCAGACCAGCTCTCCAGGCCTCACATGCAGACACTGACCCTTCCTCTCTGGTTTGTTCTCAGCTTTGGAATTTTGCCACTAGAAACCCCGAGCCCTGGAGATGGATCCTATTTACAGAACTACACCAACTCCTCCTCTGTAATTGATGTGCCATCCACTGGAGCACCTTCAAAGAAGGTACCTTGCATTCTGGAGCTCAGCTGCTCTTCTGAGAGCCTGACGTTGCAGTGCACTTTAAAGAAGAATCCATAATACAGAGAAAAAAACATGTGAGCTAAGTTTTCCCCCCCAGATGCCCAGGCTGTAGTTGCTGGACTAACCTAGGGAAGATCTCTGTGTTCTGTCCACCTCCCATCACAGAGAGTTGTGCAAGCACTGAAGCTTCCAAACAACAGCAGATTCAAACATTTCAGTTTGCAGGGTAGAGTGTGAAGACTTGGACTTCTTGTTTTATTTATTTAATGTATTTTCTGAAGCCCCGAGAGAGCTGAAGCTACTGATCTCTTGCAAGTAGTTTTTGAATTGTAGTTTACAGAGCAGAGTAATAAAAATCCTGCTGCTGGTTTGTGAAGGACTGAGAGAATGGTGCTGTTTCACTCAGCAAAGGCTTGGGTAAGGGAAACTAAAAATTGTCCGCTTTCCTCAGGAAGAAACTGCTGTAGTTACCATAGTGATAAATGAGAGGTGGAATGTTGGTGACAGTTGAAGAACTATTTGTTCCTTTCTAAAAACAAAAACCTGAGGATTTTTCCCTGTATTTTTAGTAAATCTACAAGTTGCATGAGGGATGTTGGTGTTTTGTAGGGGGCAGTATTTTGAAGTAGTGTTGGATCCCTCAAAAAGTAGATCTTGAGCTGCTGCATTTGCTCTGGACAAATCTTGATGCTCCCCTTGCAAATTCTGAAAGGGAAATGTGGGAACTGTACTAAAGTGGTCAGTTAGGAATGTGCTTTGCTTGGCTGATCCGATTCCCATCCTGTACTTGCTCAGGACCGTTTGAAAACAATGGCTTGTGGTGGACTCTGCACTTATAGGGAGGGAAATTTCCATGAATCTGAAAATGGAAATGAAGTTAGTAAGGTGCAGCTCTTCTGAGAGCTGAAAAGCTTTGGGGAATCAAGTGGGATTTGCTACTGTTTTGTTGCTTTGCTGAGTGTGACACAACAGCACTGAGGTGTAAATTTCACTACTCCACACTTAGGCCCTGCCGAGATGGAGCTGTGCCACTACCAAAACACAAATATTTAATACATTTTAATAAACAAATTCTGGTTCATGCTTTGTGCAGTGCAAATAGTCACTGTGCCAGTTCCACTTTGCTCTTCCAGTTCTGTGTCAGACAAGGTTTGGTGGAGCTGTGGCTGAACAGAGGCAGTTTCCTAGGAAACACATAAGTGAATGGAGCACTAGGAGGAATCCAAAGGCTTCCTGTCTGAGTAGGCAAGTTTCCTTGCTGGCCACCTGAACCATCCTCTGGTAACAGAATCTGGGAAAGGAAGGGAAGGACAGAGCTTTAGAGGTTGGATAATGCACAAAATGGCATTGCTTGTGCTGTTGTTGATCCACTTGTCCCTTTCCAGTGTCTCTTCCAAACTGCCATCCCTGAATTGAACGTTGGTGTCCCTGGAGTGGGCAGGAAGATAATTTTTTGAAGCTTTTTTTAAAAAATAGGAAGAGGAGGATCGGTTCTGAAAACAGGCTGCGGTGCTGTGCAGTTTGTGAATGGTTTCTGAAAGGGATTGTAATAGGATAATTTAAAAATCTTTTTCTTTCTCTCTCTCTCTATACATATATATATGTTTACAACTTTCTGCAGGAAAAAGCCTTTAAATACAATGTCTTTTAATTCCCTTTTTGTTCTTGCACAAGCACTTTAACATATATCTCTTCTTGCCACTAGATGGAGATTCCATATCTTCAGATAGTGTGCATAAGCTTTGTAGACTTGGTGTTATTAACAGGAAGGAGAAACACTTTTGATGGTTTCCCCTTGGCATGGGGAACCTTCACCTTTATTAAAACAATTGTTTCTCCTTGTGCAGTGTTTGGTGGGTGGAGTGGGCTGGGTTTGGTGCAGCAGAGATGAAAACTCCTGAGTGACTTAATAACAAACCTGCAGAAACTCTGTGTTGTGCAGACTGTCAGCAGGATCAGCCAGGCTGGAACAAAATCTGTCTTCTCCCAGAGTGGGAATAGCCGGGAAGTCACTCCAATTCTTGTTGCACAAACACAGAGCTCTGGCCCACAGACAAGGTAAAAAAATTATAGTTCTGGAGCATTTTTGGTTAAAACAAAGCTAGAAGCTATTACTACTAAAAGTGGAGCAAAGAAGCTTGCTTTCCAATGTGTAATTTTTAAATTTCTATTTTCAGTACAACACCTCAGGTATTGAGCCCAACCATTGCTGCTCCACCCAACGCGCTGCCTCGACGAAGCTCTCGCCTATTCACCAGTGATAGTTCTACAACCAAGGTACAAACCTCCCAGTGCTGCAAATCCCTGCCTTCACCCATGCCACTGTGCCAATTGCTGTTTTCCACATACTCATAGCAGTTTAAGAGCAGATCCTGCAGTGAGCAGGGCTTGGCTGGGCATGGTTGCTACACATAATTTTACACAATTCACTCTCAAGTTTAGATTTCTGAATTTAAAATACTCTTTTTATATGTAACTCTCACTTTTCTTATTCACAGGAAAATAGCAAAAAATTAAAAATGAAGTTTCCACCTAAGATTCCAAACAGAAAAACAAAAAGTAAAACAAATAAGGGAGGAATAACTCAACCAAACTTAAATGACAGTTTGGAAATTACCAAACTGGACTCTTCCATCATTTCAGAAGGGAAAATTTCCGCTGTTGCACCACAAATCCAAGCTTTCACGCTGCAGAAGGCAGCAGCAGGTCTGTTTGAGCACTGTTGGACTGTAATAGAGTAAAATCTGATCTATCTGGGTTTTAATGTTACTTCAGTATTTCCTTCTTTCCCATTTCATTTAGCCTCCAGCTCTCACCTTTGTATAATAGATAAAAACTGATTTAATTCAGCATCTTCTTGTTAGCTTAGAAACATGTGAAGAAATATTGAGAGTGGTAATTATCAGCAGATACATCTTGCAAGCTCTGGTCCTTATTAATGACTAAAGTATTTTCAAAGTATTGATATATCAAGTATTATAAATTATTATACAATGTATTAATTATGATAATAGAGCAAGTAATGTTATTATAAGTGTTATGTTGTTATAAAGTATAACTTGAAAATTTTAAAGTATGTAATTTATGACAGTATTATTTTCCTTGGAAACTGATTCAAAGGAGTTACTCATAACCCAGTCATCTCCCCTCAAACAGGAGCTTTATGTAGTCTGTTCTCCCTTGATATTTCCCATTTGTTTAAAAACAAGTATTTATTCAGACAAAATGCTGAATTCCCCTCTTTTGGCTCAGTAATGTTTCCAGGCAGCAAGAGGATGTATCGTATCCATGGCTACCAGGCTTGTGGAAATGGCTCAGACCTAGAGAAATGTTTGAAGAGCTGCTGGAAATGCAGAACTCCACTTGTCCTGAGCCCCAGAGTTTAAGGACTCATTATTTTTTGGCTTCCCTTACAGAGGCCGATATTCATAATATCATGCTCATGTTAATTAAGTGTATAATGTTAAGAGTGTATAAACTTTGTTTGGAAACTCCTGAAGGATTTCCATAGGTGAGTTCAGGAGCAGTGCACAAGGGAGAGCTTTAGGGATTAGCGCTTCCAAGTAAATAAATCTCAGCTGTCTTTTTTCCCTTTTGTTCCCCACTTTTATTTATTGTGTTTTTCTCCTAGAAGGTTTGATGAGCCTTCTCCGGGACATGGGGAAAGGTTATTTAGCCTTGTGCTCGTACAACTGCAAAGAAGCCATCAATATTTTGAGCCATTTGCCATCCCACCACTACAACACAGGCTGGGTGCTGTGCCAAATTGGGAGAGCTTACTTTGAGCTGGCAGAATACATGCAGGTAGGACCTGGGGCCAGGCCTTCCTCTTTCTTCTCTCTTTGCTTTGGCAGTTTTACACAAAACCTGCAGATCTCTTGAAAAATCTATGGGAAGTTTGCAGTTGGGGTAAATGGGTAAATATAAAAATTACACCTGGCATGGATTTAGATCTTGAATCTGGTTCATTAGAGCTTTTTAATTGAGCTTTACTCAAATTTTTTTCTTCATGTTATTTCCTCTTGTATCCGACTGTTGGGGTCTCCTCCTTGTGTGTCCCGTCTCTGCCTCCTGCTGCGCTGATGGAATTGTTTGCACTGCACGGTTTTAGAATAGATCACTCAATAGTTTGAGCTCTAAACCAAAAAACTTCTCTCCATTGGAGTTAATTCTGGTCACATCAGTGACCCAGTTTCCCTTCCAGCCTCACAAATGAAGCGTTGGCACAGCTGAGGTCCTGCCAAACTGCTCCAGAATCAGAAGTGAGCAGTTAAGGGTAATCCCACAGTTCGCCTCTCCTTGGCACTGTTGTCCTGACAGCTGATGTGCCCGTTTGCTAAGTTTTTAAAATACTCCTTGGCAGAATGTGTGCAGGAGATAAAGGAGTTTTGAGCTGTGCACAAGATTGTTTTGAGATGGAACATGCTGGGTGCTTTCACAGATTATTTAGAAAGGTGAGGGTACAGATTTTAATCACAGAATTCCAGGATGGTTTGGGTTGAAAGAGACCTTAAAGCTCACCCATTCCTACCCCTTCCATGGCAGGGACAGCTCCCACTGTCCCAGGCTGCTCCAAGCCCTGTCCAGCCTGGCCTTGGGCACTGCCAGGGATCCAGGGGCAGCCACAGCTTCCCTGGGCACCTGTGCCAGGGCCTGCCCACCCTGCCAGGGAACAATTCCTGCCCAATATCCCATCCTGCCCTGCCCTCTTGGCAGTGTAAAACCATTGCCCCTAATCCTGGCACTCTTTGTTGGGATGGTTCACAATCACAACTGGCCTATGAAAGTCTGTTGCACTCTTTCTGATTTTGTGGAGGATGTTTTTGCCTTGCTCAAGCATGGATAGAAACAGGAATGCAGCTGAGTCAGCAGAAGGGAGAGCTGGCTGCATTCCTGCTGGCATAAGTATCCTGGGATACAGTCACTTCCTTCCCTTGAAAGGAAAGTTCCAGGACTTGCAGCTCTGTGTAGAACACTTAAAAAGCAAAGAGGATGCTCAGGCTGGACATGAAGCCTTGGACCTTGGCCTCTGTGCTCTGCCTTAGTGGGTGGAATTTTATTTTAAGTTTCATTTCTGTTCTCAGGCTGAGAGAATATTTTCAGAAGTGAGGAGGATTGAAAACTACAGAGTAGAAGGCATGGAAATCTATTCAACCACACTCTGGCATCTGCAGAAAGATGTTGCCCTTTCAGTTCTTTCTAAGGATTTGACAGACATGGATAAAAACTCACCAGAGGTATAAAATGCTGTGGGCTTGAATGAGAAGAGGGGAGCTGTACATGGTAAAATCAATGATTCAGAACAGAGCTTTGAGCTCTAATCCAGTGTACTCTCCAGTGGGAATACACCTGAACGTGGCAAAACTGGAGAGGGAGGTGGCAGGGTTGTCTGTTGAACTGCTGATGACTGAAATAGCTCCTTAAACTTTGAATATCAACTTAATGTGGAACAAGTTGAAACCTTTTATCTGTTAATGGTTATTTAAATTTGCCTTGGCATGATTCAGCCAGGAAGATCATAGGTTAGTCAGTCACTTCTGCTGCTGCCAGTGTGCAGGGATAAGGAATATCTTTTTCCTGTACCTTTTAATTGCTGTAGTTAATTCACTGGCACTTAAAATATTTGTTCTAGAATTTATTTGCAGACATGATGTTGCACATTTTAGTACCAAAGTCCATTAATCTGCAGGGTGTGTGGTAATGTAGTCACGATGTGCCAAAACCCAGAAATCTTTCAATGAATGCCACAGTAAAAATAAAAGATGTGAATTGATAAATGTGCTCTTAAGAATTGAGAAAACTATAGAGGATATCGGAAATCTTTTTGGTGGAGGAGGAAATCCAATTCATATTGTCCTGTTTGTCTAAGAGTGGAAAACTCAAACCCAGTGAAGTAGTTGGTGTTTGTAGTAAGATTAGTCAGGATAAAGGGAAATGCAGATTCTAACCCAAGGAGTGGAAAATAGTTATGTGCTTTGACAGTGATGCTAAAAATTTGGGGAAGTGAGGAACCCTGGGCTGTGGTATTTACAGTCGTGGTGGGTGCTGAGCAGCAGGGAAAGAGGAGGTTGTTGCTAAAATTCTTCCTCTATAGATTTCCAGATTTGTCAGTTAGAGGGAGCTGAAGAAATAAAGTACCATCCCCACCTTTGTCATTCTTAAATATCAAAGATGTTTTATTTCTGGCCTTTTCAACAGCTTCAAAAGCTTTAGTCATAAGTCATGAAGAGGATCTAATTGGTGCAGACTTGTTGGATGTGCCCATTCTCCATTTCTATATTTCAGCTTGCTTATTTGTTTATTTATTTTGGAAGGTGTATTTAGCCCTGCTTCCCTCACAGGAATGAGTCCCAACTAACTGTTGATTTATTCCTGTTTTTACTTTTTAGTCTAGGAGTAAGTTATTTATAGTTATCTGAAGCAATACAGATAAATGTGTTCAGATCAAGCTTAGTCAAACTCAGAGTTGTAAAAAGGGGTTCTGCTCCTGCCCTGTGGTTGTTCCAGGCCTGGTGTGCTGCAGGAAACTGCTTCAGCTTGCAAAGGGAGCACGACATTGCCATCAAGTTCTTCCAGAGGGCCATCCAGGTGGATCCAAACTATGCCTATGCCTACACCCTGCTGGGCCACGAGTTTGTGTTGACAGAAGAACTGGACAAAGCTTTGGCCTGTTTTAGAAACGCCATCAGAGTCAATTCCCGGCACTACAATGCCTGGTAAGTTTGGCTCTGTCCCCTGCTGCTCCATGTGGTGCAAAATTCCTTATGGAGGAGCATCTCCTGGATGCTGCCACTGCTATAATTTCATGGAGTCACACTTTGGGTTGGAAGGGACCTTACAGCCCATCCAGCCCCACCCCCTGCTATGGGCAGGGACACATTCCTCCACCCCAGGTTGCTCCAAGCCCTGTCCAGCCTGGCCAGGGACACTTGCAGGGATGGGACAGCCACCATCTACCTACCCCTCTTCCATCCTAGAAGAGAGCAAAGCCATTCCTGCAGAAGATGGGGTGGCTACTTTCACAAGGAAGGCAAAAAAATGGAATATTTTTTTATTTTCATGGATTGTTTAGGCTGTATTAACCCAGCTATCTTGTTCTGCTGGGCAGCATTCTTTGTGCATTATGTTTCCTTAGTTGCAGCTGCAGAGATGAGATCTCAGCTTCTTCATAGCTTAGAACACACTTAGTTTCTTACAGCTTTTTAATATATAAAGCAGTAAAAGTTAGATCTGTGAGTCACTTAGTGATAATAACTTTTGTGTGCTTTTTATTTAGCAGTTACTTAGCCAGTCTTCCTGAGTATCACACATCAGTCCTTCAGCTACCCAATGGATAAAGAAAAGAAAGAACTTTTAGACAGATTCTTCCCCCAAGAAATCCCTTCCCACCCTAGATGGATGGAGTTGGCAAAGCTTCAAACCATTCCTTCCATGTCATGCTCACTGACAGAAACTAATTTGGTTAAAATCCAGTGCTACTTAGCAGAATTGTTTCTCTGCTGCAGGTACGGGTTGGGAATGATTTATTACAAACAGGAGAAATTCAGTCTGGCAGAAATGCATTTCCAGAAAGCACTTGATATCAACCCTCAGAGCTCAGTCCTGCTGTGTCACATCGGAGTAGTAAGTACATGCACTTCACTTGGGTGGGGAGAAGGGGCTGGTGTGGAGAGGAGGTGAGGAGGATTCCTCTGCCTGTGAGGAAGCTTGTTCAGACTTGGTTTAGAATTGGCAAATCCTTTTCTAAAGGAGCAGATTGTAAGTAAACACAGTCTAAAGGGTTTGTCCTTGCCCAGCAGATGAGCTTTTATTTTTCCCCTTTTGGAATTGTTCTCTCTTTGTCTGCCAGGTCCAACATGCACTGAAAAAATCTGAGAAGGCTTTGGACACTTTGAACAAAGCAATCAACATTGACCCCAAGAACCCACTATGCAAATTCCACAGAGCCTCGGTGTTATTTGCAAATGAGAAGTACAAGGTCAGTCTTGGTGCTTGTGGCAGCCTTGACATTCCTGTAGCTGGGAGTGGGGATGCCTCGGGGGCTGAATGTTTTCAGGTCACCCTGGGAAGCACCAGGGCTTGCAGCAAGAGCCTGGGACATGGGCCAGCATTTGCTTTGGCAGGTGCCACCCTCACCAGGGTCGTGTGTTAAATGTTTTGATTGTAATAAAATCTGGGGCCAAAAGGTGTTGCTTTTAAAATTATTATTTTAGTCTGACCCACTATCATGAGTTTATATTAAATTACTAAAAAAAACTCAGCCACGTGCCCCATATCCAACTACAACGAGAGCCAGCTGTTTCCAAGGTTGTATTGTGGAGTGAAAAGTCAGAAGTGAAGCAGTTTTGGGCTGATCCCCTTCTGATCTGACCCCTGTTTAGAATAAGAGAAGATCTTCCCACAGTGTTTATCCAGAGACTTTTCCTCTGGCCACTGTTTTTTGGCTCCAGAGGACAAGCCAAGGCTGTTTCGAAACTTGCCTCAGAAATGTGTGTGCACACTGAGAGGGAAAATTTTACTTAAAGGTTTTCTTTATTTCAAACTGCAGACTAAATATTTTTCAGTTGAACTTCTTAATGATGCCAGGTGACTGTCACTGCAGAGTAAACAGCTCCAGCATCGAGAACTAGTTTAAAAGTAAAGTAGAAGTTTCACTAAAAGTGTTTGGTTTCAAATGCCTAATATAAGCACTCTTTCCAACCTTTCAGTCGGCTTTACAAGAACTTGAAGAACTGAAACAGATTGTTCCCAAAGAGTCTCTTGTTTACTTTTTAATAGGAAAGGTAGGTAAAACTTCACTGTGATCATAAGTTCTGTGGCTTCCTTGGCTGCTTAATGAGAAAATTTGATGCCTGTCACCAAGACGCTTCCACTTGGAGCAGTATTCTAAAAATTCCCAAAGCTTTAAATAAGGCTTAGTGCTCACAGCTGTATTATGTGCCAGCTTTTAAATGGAGAGGACAGTTAAAGAGCTGGAGATGATGGTCCATCCCTCAGCAGAGCTGGTTATTTGCACATAAAACTATTAAAATACTGAATCGCATTCTCAAGCATTGTGTCAGAAATACTGAATAAACAGCTACATTCCAACCTTTCTTGTGTGAAATGCCAGAGAAGTGATCTGATGACAGAAATCCTTCCCACCACCTCCTCTGCTGATAAGCTTTAAATAACTCCTGCAACTTTCTGCTGGGGGTGTCTGGTCACTTGGAAGCATCAAGACACTTCCCTCCACCACAGTGCGGGAGTGCTCTCTATCAGCAAGGTTTCTTTATTTTGTTTAAACTGGACAGAGAAGAGGATTTGTGCTGAAATGTGTTATTTGTCCAGGAGTAGCTGGACCTCTGAACTGACGTGAGAGTGGCCAGGTCTTGACAAATTGAAGTATTTTCACTGTTCAGATGCTCAACACAGATCAGTAATTTCCTCATCTGCTCTTAATGATAAAGAATCTCTTAGCTGCTGGTTTAATTTTTTATTTTTAAATAGGAACATTTGCAATTTCTACAAAAATTTATTTCCCTTGGGGCTCACATAATTTTTTTTATCCCCCCTCTGTTGCTTTCCCTAAAGCATCACTGAATGGTGGCTTGGAACATTCCTTGCCCAAACCTTCAAGTAGCAGCTTCATGTAAATACAGCCTTTTCTGCTTTTTTAGGTTTATAAAAAGCTGGGTCAGACACATCTGGCCCTAATGAATTTCTCCTGGGCAATGGACCTGGATCCCAAAGGAGCCAACAACCAGATCAAGGAGGCCATTGACAAGCGTTACCTGCCCGACGACGAGGAGCCCATCACGCGCGAGGAGCAGATCAGTGAATGTTACCCCTACGAGTCAGGTCTGTGCTCCGGGCAGCTCAGCAGCTGCTGCCACTCAGGTGTGGCAGCAGTGCTAGGTTTAACAAGTGAAACATTTCTGACCAGTGAGTAAGAACTCTAGAGGCTCTTCACTCAGAAATCATTCATTTTCCCTACAGAAAGCATGGCATAAAGGGTTGTGAAATTCCTTTAGATTCCTTTAGTAGGACAGAGATCATGATAACTCTAAATTTATGCAAATCATGGGTGGCTTTAAGAGTGTCCCAGGAGAGCAAGACATTCCCAGGGCTGCAAGTATTCCATCATAAATCATAATTTCAGAGCAAATGAATGGCAACTGAAGTTGTCTGTAGATGCTTTCTCAGAAGTTAAATTGGATGTTGGATTAAAGTACTTGGTGTGCTGAACATAAAAGGTGGCTTTTGATGAAGGTCATGGAAGCAGTTTGATTTGGATCAAGAGAAAATAAAACACTATGGGGAGTAAAGTAAAGAAAGGAACAGCCCTGGTTTTTCTTCTCTCAGCTTTTGATTATGATCTTAAATTCCATAAAACATGCATAGTCATAAATATTGACCCATCTGCAGGCTGAAATGGAGATAAGAAATAATTGCTAATAAGCAATTTAATTCTCTTCTTGCAAAGAAGGAAATATAGCAGGATTTGGATTCTTATTAGACAAATGCTGTGTCCTGCAATTCCAGATTCTCAACTGAAAAATAGGGAAATGGTGACAAATGTATATCACTTTAGTTTTTATTGGTCCTGTGTGCTTTTTAATATAGGAACTGTAGTCTGCACTGCACTTCTGGAGGTATCTAGAGTTTTTCTCTCCCTGCTGTTGTAAGTGGGGTAATTTCAAGCCCCGGCTCCCTGAGCTGAGCCTGTTCTGACCAGGAGATGGAGACAGAGACTGGAACTGCTGAGCAACACTTGAGCAGTACAGAAAAAACCCCAAAGACCAACCAAACAAGAAAAAACAAAAATTGAAAAAAGAAAAATAAACCAACAGCTTAATCTGTCCAATAAGCATAAACAAAAATAAGTGTTGGGCTGTGTCACGGTTCAGGTTCCCTGGCTGTGCAGAGAAAGTGTGGAAGAGTTCCACAGCCTCAGCTGAATTCACCTTTCAGGGTACATGGGAAAAATTAAAGTAATTTAAGGTAACCTGGTGGGGGGAATGGAATTATTTTTTTAATGCTTTGGCTGCCCTGTCTTTGATGGGCTGGGCAGTGGGGGAAGCTTTGCAGTGGGACAGCCCCGTGAGCCCAGGGTCTCTTTTCCCTCCACAGTGGGCACAGACGAGTCCCAGGAGAGCAGCATGACAGATGCGGATGACACGCAGCTCCACGCCGTGGAAAGCGATGAATTTTAACCTCCAAGAGCCAGTGTCTGAGCTTGAGTGTGTGTGACTGGTACTGTCGTGTTCTCCCCTTCCTTGGCATCCTGGGTTCTACATCTCTGAGCCAGCACTGTCGTTGTTCTCCACTGACACCACGAGTGCACCTCAGACCTGAACTTAGCAGAGTTCATGGCAGTGCAGTATCCAGCTGCTGCTGAGTCTGACTAGCTGGCTCTTACACGCTTACAGCAGTGACTGAGGAGAAAATGCTGGTTTTGGACTCCCCCTTGCTGGAAAAAAATATCATGGAAGACAGACTTGTGGTTTGCTGTATGGAAGCCAGTAGATGTGGGGATAGTACTAATGAGGAGGTGTCTTGTTCTTTCTCCAGAAATGTGTCTTAGTTTGGGTCTTTCTTGGTAAGCAGAGTGCTGAACCTCATTTCCAAGTTCTCCAAGGACAGTGTTGACAAACAGGCTGTTCAAGACTTTTGCATATTGTAGTGTAACTTAAATGCCAGGGAGTGTCAATGACCTTAAAGCTGCAGTGTCTCCAGAGCAACCAGGACTGGGCGTGTGTCAGGCCACGTGAAACACCCCTGTCCCTGCCCAGAGTGCAACTGCAGGAGAATTGCATTGCAGGATCAGAGCTTTCATCAAATGCTTTCATGTTCCAACCATGAGTTAATTTATTCACCCGGTTTTGGAAAGGTCAGTGTTTACTTTGTATTTCTGTCAGCACCACCTTGCTTCATTTTTCATGCACCCCTTGACTTGTTCTTCCCCTTTGAAGAATAAAAATTAATAAAGGGAAAAATCAAGAGAGAAATGTAGATATAAGTGTAATGTGAAACATCAAACCCTTAATCCTGTGAGAGTGGGAAGACTGGAAGCCTTAATACAATCAGAACCTTGGTCAAATGTATCAAATAATTGTCTCAGATCAGTATCTCCAGTCTGGTATCACTTTGAAAACCATTTTGTAAAGTGTGGTCCAAGCAGGATGCAAAAATGTGCAATTATCTGTCTTTTTTCCTTATTTTTTTAAGCTGTTCTTTCAGTTTCCCATTCTAGGAACACTTTCCTTTCCTCCAGGGTCTGTTTCTGAGAGGAGAAAGCTGTGCCACGTTAGTGAGTCCAAACTGCTCTCTGTAGCATTCTGCAGCAGCAATTGGTGCCCTTTGTGCAGTGATGATAAAGAAAGTGTATGATACAAGCAGTTTTAAAGAGCAATTTATGCCTAATAAATTGGGAATGATACAAATTTCATAGCAATGTATTTGTTGTGATCAGTCTTAATTGTTATTTTTGTTGTTTTTTTTTTTTTAAATCCATTGTTTTTTAGGTGTCTCTTGGTTTCCTTTACACTTCAATTTCTTTTGAATTCTGTCTTGTCTACTTGGCACCTTTTCTGTCCCAGCTTCTCTCTGGTCAAGAGCTACATGGACACCTTTATCTTTTAAAAATCATCCCCAAGTTCTGAGCAAAAACAGAATTCTGTGGTTCACTGGGGTTTTTTGAAGTAGGAGGATGGGCAGTGAAAAATAGGTTTCAATTCCCCTCATAGGGTGAAAAAACCCTCTAAAATCTGCGGAATCCAAAGAGGTTAAATGGGTTTTGTGCCTCTGCCCTGCATTTTGATCAGCTGGGTCTGGAAGGCTGATGGTGGCACATCTGGGCTGGATTGAGGATCTCACACAGATTCCTGGGATTCCAGGGTGCTCTGGGTGATTCCCCTTCCCTGGGGAAGACACAGGGCTCAGGTTTCCCTGGAACTGGTCTGCACCCAGGGCAGAGTTCCCAGGCCCTTCTCCTGAGGTTCCTGGGTCTCCCTCTGTGGTTTTCCAGCTCCAACGCATCCCTCATGTGGAGGAGTCTGAGCAGCACCTCCTGGTAAGGTCTGCAGGCAGCACCTGTGGAATGCCACTAATTACCGTGTTAATTGGGCTCTTTTTGGTTCCCAGCATGTTTTACAAACAAAAAGCAGGAGGAAGCAGGTGCTACCTTTCCTGTAACAAATGTTCATGTGGGGACCAGAGATCCGAGAATCACGGGGGCTTTTTTCCTTCGTTCCCTGAAAAACTGCAGTAAAACTTTCAACCCCTTGGAAAAAGCTCTTAATTTAGCTGGGATGTTCAAATGATGTTTGTGCTATTTGGAAGATTTAATACCTAAAAGCATTCCTGGCTTCATATGTTCATCCTACCTTAAAGGTATTTTCTTTTTTCCTCAAGAATCCAGGGTCACCTTTAGCCCATGCTGCTATTTTATGTTCTGAGGAAAAACACAAAAGTAGTATTGAAGGACTAAAATTTGGCTCTTTGAGGAGGGACAGAGAGGAGGAGGCTGAGCATGGAGGCACTGGCAGGCAGGTGAGCAAGTGTTCACTGAAAAGAATTAGAGAACTGTCATTTCCTTACAACAAAACTGTGGAAGAATGAAAAGTGTGGGTGTGGTGTTACTATTTGCATTGAAACAATGTAATTTGTCTCTTTTATTCTTGATTTTTCTTTTTTTTTTTTGGCTTTTCTTGATTTTTTTTTTTTTATTTCAGAAATTGTACAGTCCTAGGGGGGAAAAAAAGTCTTTTCTGTTAATATATTTGCAATTCATGAAAGGATGTGGAAAAATCCAAATAAATTACTTTTAAAAGCAGGCTTAGCCCCAGGTGCTTTGGGTCAGGGGTGGGGTTTGTCCTTCAGGAGTTGGGCAAGTGGCAGAGCTTGGGAAAGGTTTAAGGGCACCTTGGGGTGCACAGGGCTCTTTTCTGCCCAGGCCTCCACATGTCACCTGTAAATCTACCTCAGCCTTCCAAGTGGGCTGCAAGGTCCTGCTGGAGTTTCAGGTGAGGGGGGAGGTGTGGCACGGGTGTGACACTGGGTGTAAGGACTTGGAGCCAGTCCTGACAAGGCACACAAGGAGCTGCTCCAGGGCTGGAGCCCCTCTAGACCCAGGCTGGGAGAGCTGGGGACGTTCACCTGGAGAGGAGAAGGCTCCAGGGAGAGCTCAGAGCCCCTGCCAGGGCCTAAAGGGGCTCCAGGAGAGCTGCAGAGGGACTGGGACGAGGGATGGAGGGCCAGGAGCCAGGGAATGGCTCCCAGTGCCAGAGGGCAGGGATAGGTGGGATAGTGGAGACAAATCCTTCTTGGTGAGGCCCTGGCACAGGCTGTTCAGAGAAGTTGTTGCTGCTCATCCTCGCTTTCCATCCTGCAACGACGGGATTCAAGAAGCTCTTGAGTATGGAGCAGGTTAGTTTTATTTTCTTTTTTTCCTGTCTTCCATAGCAGGTCCCCACCCTGTGGCTGCAGCTCTTGTTGCTCAGCAGAGAAATTAATTATTACAGTCTTTGACACTTCCAGACCTGGAGAAGAAGCTTCCTGGGAAGGCTTATGGCTGTGCAGGAATTCCTCCTGCCGCGTGTAGTCATCTTGGATTGAACCTTTTACTGCTGATTTTTGCCCACCCTAATCCAGTAATTTTTGGGAGTTGTTTGGCTTTACAAGCAACACTGAGATGAACCCCTCCTTAGCTGCTTCCCCATTTTCTCCCATGGTTCTGTTACTCCTGGGCACTGGTTCCTGTGTCCTGTAGCTGAGCTCTGGCCCCACAGTGAGAGCCCAGCTCTTGTTCCTGTGCCTCGGCTGGGCTGGGCTCTGCTTGGTGCTGGAGCCAGGCTTTGTTCAGGGTAGGCTGAGTTTTAGGTGCCTCCAGAGAAAGACAAAGCAGTGCTGAAATGGGTTTATCCATCGTTCCAGGGCTGAATTGCAGCCCCACGCTGAACAGCAGGGAGTTGTTTAGGAGCACCTACATCTTACTGAGGTTTGCACTCCTCCTGTTGTTCACCACTGACTTTGTTGCTGCAACATCTTATTTTCTGTTCTTCCATCCGAGTCTATGACTTTGTCTGACTGAGAGCTGATCCAGGAGCAGGAACTTTTTATTTTTAAGGAGCACAACTGGGTTTTTCTAAGGCAGGGATCCTAGTGCTTTAAAACTTTTATCACCTGCAGAATAAGGTCATAGTCTTGATTTTCCTGGATAACCAAGAAAAACAACCTGGTGGTTTCATGTTCCATGGGGAAGGAGAGCAAGGACAGTACCTGTGTGGGGACAGTGACTACAGCTGCTGTGTGTGGGATCAGGCTGGCCACCTCTAACAGTGTTTTTGGAGCATCTCAAACATCCTCCCAGTCCTGAAAGGGGCTTAGGAAAAAAAGAGGGAGAGTAACTTTTTTAGACAGGCAGATAGTGACAGAACAAGAAGGGGAACCACTTTAACCAGAGAGAGATTTAGATTAGATGCTAGGAGAAAATTCTTAACTCAGTTTGGCAAGGCCCTGGTTTAGGCTGCCCAGAGCAGCTGTGGCTGCCCCATCCCTGGAATTGTCCAAGGCCAGGCTGGAGCAGTCTGGGATAGTGGAAGGTGTCGCTGGGAGTGGAACAAGATGGGCTTTGGGTCCCTTCCCACACGAAGTATTTCATGATTCCATGATCCTCTTCCTAGCTCTGCTGTCCCACAGGGAAATGGTGACTCTCATTGCCCATCAGTGACAAATGAAGGAGCTCACCTGCTTTTTGGCCTGTGGAATATGGAGTTGAGCCTTTTATTTGAATTAAACCTGTCGTATGACTGGAATAAAAACAAAAAGACAGTTTAAGAAAACAAGAGTGGCAGCAGATGAAGAAGTCCGTGTCTGTACCCCACAGCAGCGGCCAGGAGCAGCCCTTGGAAGAGTTTTGTGTGTTTAGGAGGAGATGTGAGCGGGCTGACCCCAGCAGCGTGCGGCTCAGCGGGGGCCGAGGGAGCTCCTGCAGGCTGCGTTGGGGCTGGAGGGCCACGGGCCCCGCGGATGGAGCCCGCCGTGGGACAGGGACCCGCGGCAGTGACAGGGCCCAGGGCCAGGCGGGGACACCGCGCCCTGCGCCACCCGCGGGCCCGGGGCCTGCCGCCACCCGCGGGACAGGGCCCGGTGTCCCCGCGGGGCCGCAGCCCTCGCCCCCCGCGCCGGGGCTCGGTGTCCGGGCGGCACCTCCCGCTCCCCAGGCCGGACCCCCCGCGCCGCGGGCCCCGCACGGAACGAGAGCGGCCCCCGGCCCCGGGACACCCCGCGCGCCCCCGCTCCCGCCCCGGGGCCAGCTGCGGGACACCGGCGCCCCGCGTCCCCCCGTCCCCCGCCCCGCACCCGGGGCCGCCCGCCGCCCCCCGCCCGGCGCTCCCGCAGCCCGGCCGGAGCCGCGGCCGCCCCGGGGCCGAGCCCGGGACCCGCCGCTGGGGCCGGGCCGGAGCGGGGGTCCCGGGCCGGGGGGGGCGCGGGGCAGGGGCCGAGCGGCGGCACCGCATCAATCACCGCCCGCCCCGCCCCCAGGGCTGATTGACGGGGCCGCGGCCAATGGGGCGCGCCCATGCCCCGCGCTCAGCCAATGGGCGCGGGGGAGGGCGGAAGGTCCCCGCTTGAAGGCGGCGGAGCGGCGCAGGTAGGAGCGGGCGCGCTGCGGGCGGGGGGCGCGCGCGGCCCGGGGGGCGCCGTCCCCGCCCCGGCCCCGGCCCCGGCGTCCCGCAACTTGACTGCGGGGGCCGGGCCGCGGCGGGGCCGGGGGGCTCGGGCGGCTCCTCCCGCCCGGGAGTTGGGGGTCGAGGGCAGGGTCGCGGTGGGCGCCGGGCCCGGGGCGCCGGGAGAGCTCCGCCGAGCCGCGTTGCCCCGGGGGGCCGGGCCCGGCCGGCTCCGTGCGGAGAGGGGACCCCCCCCCCGCCCGCCCTGCGCCTCCATTTTAGCCAGGGGAAGCGAGGCCGGGCCCGGGGGGCTCCGAGAAGGAGCGGGGGAAGGGGGCAGCCCCCGGCCCCCCGGGCCGCGCCGCGAGCGCTGCCGGGCCCGGCCGGCCCGGGGCGGGATGGAGGTAACGGTGGGAGGGGGCGGCAGGGCCCTCGTGACAGCCCTTTCTCTCCCCAGCTCCTGGATTTTCCTACCTCCTCCGGTAAATAAATAAGAAACTTACATCGCGCCCGGCGTCGGCGGAGGCCGGAAGGAGCCGGAGGCCGTCCCCGTGCCGCCGGCTGCCCACCTGGAGCGCAGGTGTGAGGATGGGCCTGGCCGCGATGCCCAGCGAGGTAGGTCCCGTCTGCCCCGCCGAGCAGCGCGCTCGGGGCTCGCCGGTCCCCGGCCCGCTCGGGTGTGCTCAGGTGCCTTGGCAGGTGCTGGCTCGGTTCCTGACCGTGCAGGATGGGGCCGGAGCCCTGCACGTAGTTTCTTGGCTGATGCAGAACTTTAAAATGGAGG